GAATCAGGCAAGTTTAAGCAGTGTAAGTTATAACCTCTAAATGATGTACGTATCGCCTTCAGTCAGGCACCGAAGGAGCTAGGTGACCCCCAAAAGTGGGTTGTCGTTCAAATATATAATTGTTGTTGTATATGATTGGATCTTTACAAATGTGTCCTTTATGTAATCTTATTTTATAAAGCACATATATACAAGAAGATTTTATATACAAAAACACAACCATATATCCATTTGCTTGTTGTCATTGTTTCCATACGACTTTTCCTAGTAATTTAAAAATCTGCTATGTCTACAATTGGACTTATTTAAATTCATTGAAAGTAAAAACGATACTTACACACACGCGCACGCACACACAGACACACAGACACAGACACACACACACACACACACATTATGTCGACATTGCTGATGAAAACCAACATAGTTCAAGTATTACATTGATTTAGATTTTAAACGGTATTTTCTAGATTTCTTCTTCCGTCTTTAGAAGTACACATTAAGGGAAAATTGAGACATCAAAATGCCGACATAATTAAACACTGTCGGCATCGCCTTAAGCAATACAGTTATTTTGAAGACTTTGTCTATGGATAAACCATAGATTCAATCCACAATTTATCATTTATTCCACCCCCCCCCCCATCTTATGCTTATTAACCGATTCAAACCACATTCAAGCCAATTCATGCAGTGTAAGTTGTAATAAATACTTCTTTCTAAAGCAAGTATATGTAAGTTATGTATTGCACTTCAGTCAGGCACCGAAGCAGGTGACCTCCAAAAGTGGGTTAATTTGTCGTTTTACCCAAACATTCATGTTCTTAACGTAAATCTTAGCTTATTAAGTACATGTTATACCAGAAGATTGTATAGTAAATTTATATACATGAAGATAGATAGATAGATAGATATTTATTAAGGTTAAAACATACATACATATATACATAATACAAACACTTAAGCATTTTATATAAAACTGATGACACAATTGTAAATAAAATATTTCGGAAGTTTGACAAACATAAATATCACAGACGGCTCATTAAATAATAAAATATTATAACTAAAACAAAATCTAAAACTCTTTCTTTCCTATGACTAGATATCAATTTACTAGTTTAATAAAATGTGACGACGTAAGTGGAAACATGTATAGAGTAGTGTGCAATAACCTCGGATTGCCCATGAAAGCCCGAAGGCTTATTTCCAAAGGGGTCCTTGGATATATACTTACTATGATATACAATATAAAACACAAAAACATTGAAAAATACAAAACTTTGGAAACTGGAAGATGTCATTTACGTAAAATATCAAACTTTAGTATTTCCATTAACTTTGCTAAAAGGAAAACAATAAAAATGATATCAATATCTAGTCATACTAGTGAATTTAATTATGATTTCCTAACTGTTCTAGTAAATGGGCCTTCACTGAGCTTTTAAAATCTCCTATCTTATTAATTTTTTTGATGCATGATGGCAAGGAATTCCAATCATTAATTGCTTTTTGAAAAAAAGTTACATTATCTTTTCCATAACTTCTTTGGACCCTAAAATTGTACTGATTCGCCCGAGTTGAATAAGAATGAATGTCTCTAACAGGTATAAAATTTTCTTTCATATATGAAGGGCACTGGTTATTAACAATTTTAAAACATGATTAAGACGTAATTGCTTAATTATTTCTGTTTTCTACATTTAGTAAAGACATATTAGCAAGAATAACATTATTGACACTATCTCTAGGTCCCATACCGTGTATAAATCTAACAATTTTATTTTGACAAATTTGAAGCTTATTTTTAAAACACTTGTTCAGGCTCGGGTACCAAGAAGAACATGCGTAATCAAGGTGACATTGTATTAGTGCTGAGCATAAATATTTTCTAGTCCTAAAATCTAAAACATTTGCTTGCCTATACAAAAACTTAAGACGTGAATTCACCTTTGTAAGAATACTATTAACAATAACATTTTAAAACCGCAGACCTAACATCCGTATATTGGTTGTTAACATAATTGTCACTGTTTTTATGAATTCAAAAGTTCGCTATTCAAAAACTTGCCCTTGTTTGCATTATTTGTAAAAAAATATGAGACGTGTCACGACAAAACCAACGTAGAGCGTTTGTGACCAGCATGGATCAATACCAGCCTGCGCATCCGCGCAATCTGATCAGGATCCATGCTGTTTGCTATCAGTTCCTCTACTTTTAATAGAGTTGGTTAGCGAACAGCACGGATCCTGATCAGACTGCGCGAATGTACAGGCTGGTCTGGATCCATGCTGGTCGCAAACGCACTATGTTGGTTTTGTCGTGACACGGCTCATATACATATAATGGCTATATACACGTAATATAATAAATGGAGTGAACATACATGATTTTACATTCAGACATTAAACTTCTCTACATCCATGCAGATACTGGCTGTCAGAATTGCATTTAACAATGCACTTTTCTAGGGATACATCAATCAGTTTACAGTTAACCCGGTAGCCTATACACTATAATTATAATCTATAATCTAAAGAAAATGGAAGTGGCTAGCCGTACGGGCCCGTACGGCTAGCCAAAAGTTCTAGCCGTACGTGAGTCACGTACGACTAGCCAGGACACTCTGTATTGGCTAGCCGTACGGCACTTTTCAAAAATATATGGTAGGCGAAAGTGCATATGTTAATTATGACTTTAAGCGAGGATTTTAGTCAAGATTGTTTACATTATAAAGATTAATTGACGTGTTGGCTACAGTAAAAAATGTACTTTGATATCTCAAGACGTCGAGAAAAAATAGCGTTTGGTTGCAGTTAATTAAGATCAATTGAAATAGTTTACAAAATATTGATAATAATCCTTTTTTGTTTCATTAAGTTTAATTTTTAAATTGAAAAAAAAACCAACAACAAACAAACAAAAAAACACCGAAAATAATTGTTGTTGGGCTCTGATAATTGCTTCAATTACCGACGGTAATCGTCCATCATTAAGGAAAGTTTGCATTATTAAATTATTTTTCCTTTTCATCGTTTTTTTTTAATATTCTTTTTATTTATTTATTTATTTCCCTCATTATTTATTCGATCCATGTTTTTAATTTACAGATTTAACAATTCATCTTTCATACAAATCATAAGCATGAAAATTAAGGGCGTTAATTATAACATGCAACTTTGACACTTAATTTTATTAAGATAGATTATACAACACTTACTCGTATTCATTTTTTTTGCAAAATTGCGGAGCATCTTTATTAAAGTGAACACACTAGGACAAAACTCAGAGATTTGATTAAAATTGTCGTTTAAAGACACAAAATAACATATGCATTTTCGACTTCCATATAATTTTGAAAAGTGCCGTACGGCTAGCCAATACAGTGTGACCAGGCTAGTCGTACGTGACTCACGTACGGCTAGAACTTTTGGCTAGCCGTACGGGCCCGTACGGCTAGCCACTTCCAAAGAAAATTACACCTCCATTTATTGGTTGTCGTCATTGATATATACTCTATCAGATCATGGGCGAACTGTTTTTCATGTTTAATATTTTACAGGTAACATGCCTATTAAAGGAAGTGTTAATGATGACCTACAATTACTTATTATTGGTGATACGTTCGAAAGCATGTATATCTCAAGTTTAGATTGCACTTTATTCAGGTACTGGGGCAGGTGACCTCCTAATTTAAAATACACGCGTTGTCGTCTTCATTTTACCTAAGACAAACTATTTATTGGTGTAATTGGTTGAATCCTTTTAAAAATTGTTTGCCTTCACATCAGATGACGACAATTTATGTAAATTCACTAAAAAATAGTCATGTCATTATGTGTTTTGTAAGTGCATAAATCTAAAAAAGCAACTAAAAGTATACAGTACAATTTCACAGTTAATAGTGTTATTATATAGAGACATGCCTATATTGTTTGGTGATGCTATAAGTTGCTTTGGAAACATAACTTGACCGATTTATTTTGTTTCAATTCAACGTAGAATCTAGATCTAATATTGCGATATATTTAAAAAAAAAAAATTAAAACTGATATTGAAAAATAAAAGTACATTTCGCATATATACGTCCCTTTCCATTCTCTTTAGGAGCGTTCACTGAGACGCTCTTTAAACGTTCGCGTTAGCTTATATTTACTGAAAGGGATGTCGTAAACGTCCGCCATGACGTTCAAGAAAATTGAGAAATTTTGTAACATAAACTCGTATTTCATAACAAAGAAGTAAAGATTAATACAATTATCGGTGTGCTTCGTTGAAACAGGTATTTTGTTAACTATTTGTGAAGTATTTAGGCATGACATTCAGTATTTATGTAAATATCAGCTCCCGGCGTCCCGTGTTATGTCATGATTTATAAAATTGGAAGTGGCTAGCCGTACGGGCCGGGCCCGTACGGCTAGCCAAAAGTTCTAGCCGTACGTGAGTCACGTACGACTAGCTAGGACACACTGTATTGTCTAGCCGTACGGCACTTTTCAAATTTATATAGAAGTCGAAATTATACATAGATGTTTTTTCATGACTTTAAGCGAGGATTTTAACCATGAAATAGTAATTGTCTTCGTATAGGCTATTTACTTTAAATAGAGATTAATCGCCTTGTTGGCTACAGTATCCCGAAACAACCAATTTTCAATCACAACCTAAATTCAAACACATTCTTAATTCTGTGGCACTGATGTCATGTCTGACTAAATTGCATAAAGTCCATGTTGTAATATGAAATTAGGCAAAGCCTATGAACGGGGAAGTCGTTGAAAAATTCCTTTCATTCTTTCCGTTTTAAAGGTGTCATTCGGTATTACATGCACCGCTTCCGTTTTCACTCGGAACACTCGACGATTATTATTGATCCGAAAAGTTGAGATTTATTCCGTTATTGGAATACCCCGTCTATTATCATTGATTTACATTGTAAATGGCGGCGCCGGACTAGAACTGACACTGAAAATTTCATTGATAGGTATAGAATTCTATATATTTTTTAATTGTTTTTTATTTGATTTTCTTTTAAATATACACGTGTAGTCTATAGCCGGGCAAGCCAAAGCCCGGACCCGCTTCGCGGGCCCGGTCTTTGACTTCCCCGTATTAACTTCAAAACTTGCAGAAATGCCATACTTGATTAATTGTCAGATGTTATCAGTAAAACAATAAGAAACTGTTTGTTTTAAGTGACACAATATAAATTGTCCAACTTCAACTATATCAAAATAGTCACTTGTTTAAAATAGTGGAAACATTTTTCCAAGCAAGTTAATTTTTTTTTATAAAGTATTGGCTAAAGAGTTTTACCATTTACCTCAGTCCTAGGTGTATTTAAAACATTTATTTATATGATGTACCACTAAATATTCATCAGACTTTACATGGGGTCCTTATTAATAAAATCTTATATTGTTATCAAATTCTTTCATCTGATGATTGTAGAATAATTGTTTTGTAGGCGATAGCAACTGGCAGATCTAGACAAGTTTCCGTATTTGCTAGTAATATAAAGTGGGGAAGGTAAAATGGCTGTAAAGATTGGATGCATTTATCATTTTGCACCCCAAATAGCGTACTAAGAAGTGATACCTTTAACTGCCTTTTTATACACATTAACAGTAGTCATACTAATGCATTGTACTTTACATATGTTATAACATTTAGTGTAAGTTTTTTAAAATCTTGAAAAAACTGTTGAAAATCGTTGAATAGACTGTTGTGAAATTTTCTACAATTTTAAGTGGCCCTGATTTATCTTGAACAAATTATCCATAGTGATTACCCTGCTGTTTGAATTTAGGTTAAAATATTTCTGAGAGTGACCCGAGTGGGTCATATCGTTTTTATTGAATTTCTAAGAAAGATCAAGACTTGTTGAAAATGTACCAACCTTTAAATGAAAAAGTTTTGATAGATGCATTAATAGCTAAAATAAATTTAAAGTATAATTTCTCCTTCCATTTATTATTGGCTAAAAATGGCTTAACTGATTGAATATTGGTTGTCCCGGGATAAAAGAAGTACGAATATCGATTTTTATCATTTCAAGACATCGAGAAAAAATAGCGTTAGGTCCACAGGTAAACGTTGCGTGGCCATGACTTACACTATACCCCCGTTCCCCCTCTACAACCCAAAACCCTAAAAAAAAATTATGAAAAAAAAAAAATTTTTTTATGACTAAAATATTATAAAGGTATTTTACTCTACTTTCATTTTGCATAGAAATATCACTAGCATCTAAATTATCAGCGCATATATTCATCAATTTTTCACCAATCTTAATAATCTTGGTCTCAAATCTTAGATAAATAAATACTCTTTAAGAAAACAACACTGGCACCTTTGCTGATTATACGTAGCAAGAAATATCCAAGCCCAAACTGTCAACAAATGAAACTCGGAAGAGATCTGATTGCACCGTTTCGGTAAAACTCTCACGAGTAAAACACACTAAATTCACCGTGAAAGAATATTTCTTTGTACTGCGTATTTAAATATGATAAAATTAAGTTATTATTTATAATAATTGTTCAATCAAAGCATCTTATGAAACTATAACGCACCTTTTTTCCTATATGTCAAATTCTCATTCCAAAATGAAAGTAAAATGGGCCTGCAGATTGTTTTCAAATGGAGTATTTTCATTGGTCACAGGAAAACCTCGGACCAATGAAAATACTTAAAGGGAAACAACTCTGCTGTGCCAATTTACTTTCATTTTGGATTGAGAATATTGATTAATATATAAATAAAGCCTTATGTCTTCAGTTGTTGTGTAAATAATAACCAGTACTCGGCGGGGGATATAAATTCAACGAATTTGCTTGTTTGGTATACAAATGCAACCCGGCCATTTTTGTCTTTGATCCATTTTTAGCTCGACTATTCGATAAGAATAAGTAGAGTTATTGTAGTCACCCGAGCGTCGGCGTCGGCATCTGAGCGGCGTAACCACTTATGTTAAAGTTTTTGTAATAGTTCAATTATTTTCAAAGTCCATTGACATATGGCTTTGAAACTTTGCACACTTGTTCACCATCATGACCCCAACCTGTAGACAGGAGGAGGTACCTCTATCAAGCATTTTGACAGAATTATGCCCCTTTTTTCGACTTAGAAATTATGTTAAAGTTTTTGTAATAGTTCAAATATTTTCACAGTCCATTGACATATGGCTTTGAAACTTTGCACACTTGTTCACCATCATGACCCCAACCTGTAGACAGGAGGAGGTAACTGTATCAAGCATTTTGACAGAATTACGCCCCTTTTTCGACTTAGAATTTACGTTAAAGTTTTTGTAATAGTTCAAATATTTTCAAAGTCCATTGACATATGGCTTTGAAACTTTGCACACTTGTTCACCATCATGACCCCAACCTGTAGACAGGAGGAGGTAACTCTATCAAGCATTTTGACAAAATCATGCCCCTTTTTCGACTTAGAATTTACGTTAAAGTTTTTGTAATAGTTCAAATATTTTCAAAGTCCATTGACATATGGCTTTGAAACTTTGCACACTTGTTCACCATCATGACCCCAACCTGTTAACAGGAGGAGGTAACTGTATCAAGCATTTTTTTTTTACTATCAAGCACTAAGAATAGTCGAGCGTTGCTGTCCTACCGACAGCTCTTGTTGCGTCACCTCTAAGGAGAAGTGGCAACATACAGGGATCACTTGTTGCTTGTTTTTAAAAAGAAAAATACTTATAAGAGTTATTCCTTAAGGTGAGCCATCATGGCCCTCTTGTCATTTATTTATTTATTTTTAGCTCACCTGTCACAAAGTGACAGGGTGAGCTTTTGTGATCGCTTTTCGTCCGGCGTCCGGCCGTCGTCTGTCCGTCCGTTCGTAAACTTTTATTTTAAATGACATCTCCTCATAAACCACTAAGCCAATTTCATCCAAACTTCACAGGAATGTTCCTTTGGTGGTCACCTTTAAAAATTGTTCAAAGAATTTAATTCCATGCAGAACTCTGGTTGCCATGGCAACCGAAAGAAAAAACTTTAAATATCTTCTTTTAAACAACCATAAGAGCTAGAGCTTAGATATTTGGCATGAAACATGTTCTAGTGAGTGTCTACCAAGTTTGTTCAAATAAAAGCCCTGGGGTCAAAATTGGCCTCGCCCCAGGGGGGTCATTGATTTTCCCTATATGCATATAGTAAAAACTTAAAAAAATTTCTTTTAAAGAACTCAAAGAGCTATGGCTAAGATATTGAGCATCAAACATGTTCTATAGGTGTCTACCAAGTTTGTTTAAATAAAAGCCCTGGGGTCAAAATTGGGGGGTCATTGATTTCCCTATATGCATATAGTAAAAACTTAAAAATCTTCTTTTAAAGAACCTAAAGAGTTAGAGCTAAGATATTTAGCATGAAACATGTTCTAATAAGTGTCTACCAAGTTTGTTCAAATAAAAGCCCTGGGGTCAAAATTGGCCCTGCCCCAGGGGGTCTTGATTTTCCCTATATGCATATAGTAAAAACTTAAAAAATCTTCTTTTAAAGAACTCAAAGAGCTATGGCTAAAATATTTAGCATCAAACATGTTCTAATAGGTGTCTACCAAGTTTGTTCAAATAAAAGCCCTAGGGTCAAAATTGGCAACCGCCCTGGGGGTCATTGATTTTCCTTATATGTGTATAGCAAAAACTTAAAAATCTTCTTTGAAAAAACCCAAATAGCTAGAGTTAAGATATTAAGCATGAAACATCTTATAGTGAGTGTCTACAAAGTTTGTTCAAATAAAAGACCTGGGGTCAAAATTGGCCCCGCCCCGGGGATCATTGCTTTTCCTTATATGTGTATAGCAAAAATTTAAAATCTTCTTTGAAAAAACCCAAATAGCTAGAGTTTAGATATTAAGCATGAAACATCTTCTAGTTAGTGTCTACAAAGTTTGTTAAAATAAAAGCCCTGGGGTCAAAACTGTCCTGGCCCCAGGGATGTCATTGTTTTTAACTATATGTGTATAGTAAAAACTTAAAAAAAATCTTCTTTTAAAAAGCCCAATGAGCTAGAGCTTAGATGTTTAGCATGAAACATCTACTTATGGGTGTCTACCAAGTTTGTGCAAATAAAAGCCCTTGGTCTAAAATTGACCCTGCAACGTTGGGGTGGGGGGCCTATATACAGGTGAGCGACCTCATGTTATTTTTATTTTTTTTATTTATTTAAATTATTTTATTATTTATAATTATTTTTCAATATAGAGATTTTATTATAATTTATTGATAATAAAGTGTCCCTAAAAAATAAATATGAAATTTGACTCCGCCCACTTTCATATTTTTTATTTCATATTTATTTTTAAAAAATATGAAATATATATTGACTGATTTTGCAATATATTTCATAGGTAAAATTGAATAATATGTAATGTTGAGTTACATTGTCTTTTTTAAAACAAAAAGTCCAGCTATAATAATCACTGCTGTCGAAGGCTCAGGGTGAGCTATTAGTATTAAAGGGGGATACACCGGCGTCCGGCGTCATGCATCCACAATCGCCTTCTTCTCAGAAACTGCTGGGCAGATTTACCTAAAACTTGGTCTGTAGCATCTATGTAACAGTCACACTTAAATTTGCTCATGTCATTTCAAATGGCCCCTTTTAGGGGTCAACAGAGCTAAAAATAGAAAAACTTTTAAACATCTTCTACTATAGAACTAAAAGATGGATGATCACCAAACTTTGGCTGTAGCATTCTTGGGTAGGATTTTATCAAGTTTGCACATATTTATTTGATTGGCCCCTTTTAGGGGTCGCTAGGGCTAAAGATAGAAAAACCTTTAGACATCTTTTTCTACAGAACAAAAAGATGAATGATCACCAAACTTTGTCTGTAGCATTTTTGGGTAGGCTTTTATCAAGTTTGCTCATATTAATTTGATTGGCCCCTTTTAGGGGTCGCTAGGGCTAAAGATAGAAAAACCTTTAGACATCTTTTTCTACAGAACAAAAAGATGAATGATCACCAAACTTTGTCTGTAGCATTTTTGGGTAGGCTTTTATCAAGTTTGCTCATATTAATTTGATTGGCCCCTTTTAGGGGTCTCTAGGGCTATAAAAGAAAAAAACCTTTAGACATCTTTTTGTACAGAACTAATTGATGGATGATCACCAAACTTTGTCTGTGGCATTCTTAAGTAGTCTTTTATCAAGTGTGCTCATATGAATTTGATTGGCCCATTTTAGGGGCCTCTATAGCTATAAATAGAAATATCAAAAGAAAGAAAAATGTATTTTTAGAAAAATTGTAACCAGAGTGATAAAATGAAAAATGTGATTAAAGTGATATATAGATAAAATGTAACCAGAGTGACAAAAAGAAAAAATGTAATTAGAGTGATATATAGAAAAATGTAACTTATATATATAATTGATATATATATAAAATGTAACTTGTAAATATAATATTTTGTGACTATTTATTTAAAGGAAGAGGATTATCCATCTATTGTATTGGGAGTGTTTGTGGAGCATCCAACACCATTTCTTAGAGAAGCCTTACAGAAGATTGCAGCATTAGATTATCCTAAACAGAAAATTGATTTCTTTATTCATTCATCAGTGAGTGAACATCTCTTATACTAGATAAACTTGTATTTCTTATTAATTCCATTTATGGCATTCCTGTCTGCATACTTCAACCTTGATAATTATACCCCCGTACAACGAAGTTGTAAGGGGGATATACTGGAATCAGTTTGTCCGTCCGGCCGTCGCCCTGTCCGGCCGTCCGTCCGCACTACCGAATAGGGATAGAGGGCCATCTAACTGGAAACAGAACAAAAGAGAACAATAGAGTTCATTCCGTAACAAAAGAGTAAGGGGCCATTGGCCCTCTATTAAACAATAGAAAATAACAATAACAAAATGACTCTTTATTCCATTTCGGCCGTCCGTCCATCACTAGGTCATAGGTCAAGGTCACAGGGGCCTTGACTTCGAAAAGCTTGTCCGCCAAATAACTTAAGATTCCTTTGACTCACAGTGTTCATATTTGGTATTTAGATTGGTTATGGTTAGTAGATGATCCCTATTGATTTTGAGGTCACTGGGTCAAAGGTCAAGGTCACAGGGGCCTTGACTTCGAAAAGCTTGTCCGCCCAATTACTTAAGATTCATTTGACCCACAGTCTTCATATTTGGTATTTAGATTGATCATGGTTAGTAGATGATCCCTATTGATTTTGAGGTCACTGGGTCAAAGGTCAAGGTCACAGTGGCCTTGACTTCCAAAAGCTTGTCCGCCCAATAACTTAAGATTCCTATGACCCACAGTCTTCATATTTGGTATTTAGATTGATCATGGTTAGTTGATGATCACTATTGATTTTGAGGTCACTGGGTCAAAGGTCAAGGTCACAGGGACCTTGACTCAAAAAAGCTTGTCCGCTCAATTGCTCAAGAATGCTTTGGTCAACAGTCTTCATATTTAGTATTGAGATTATTTATGACTTTAAGGTGACCCCTTTAGATTTTAAGGTGACTATGTTAAAGGTCAAGGTCACAGGGATTTTAATATAATAAGCTTGTCTGATCAAATGCTTACAGTCTTCACGAAAAACTTTAAAAAGCACAGGACATTCGGGCCAGTAAAATTTCAAATCTTACTGGACCTGTTGATTTTTAGCCGGACCAAATACATTCAGATAGGTAATAATTCGATGGGTAAAGGAAAACATTTTATCATGCTTCCCTTGATAATTTTGAAAGAAGCATAATACTTCTTGTATTCTGGGCCATACATGTATGTTGACAGCTTTGAAAAATCTATGAAGACCAAATGTTTAGGCTAAATTGACTAGAATTGAACATGAACAATGCAATTTGCTTCAAACGAATCACTTTCACACAAAATATTTACTTAACTCAATAATAACAAAATCATAGGTAAATATAGACCATAATAAACAATGGTTTAATTTCCGTAACTGTACGGTGCGGTACGGAAAATATCCAAGAAAAAAAATGGCGGTCTCCATTACTCAATAAAATTTAGACATCTCTCGCTGTATTTTGAACATTTAGGACAGAATTGATGGGTTTCATTTGCAAAAAAAACAGTATTTTAGAGAGCCCTGCTTCATTATTTTGATGAATTTTTCTTATAATATATTTGCATTGCCAAAAATCTACTGGCCTGTCGGACCACCAACCTTGCAATAATCACCAGACCAATGCTAAATTTAGTGGCCTCGGGCCTCGGACTGGCGTTAATTTCGAAGACTGTGCTTAAGAATGCCTGTCCGCAGTGTATTGATTTTAACATTTTAAGCATGTAGAATACATAACTTAGCAATGCACTGGCTTAGTTACCTCAGATTTGGCAGGGAGGTTGTCCTTGAGCTTTAAATGGCCACTGTTGATTCTGACAAAGTGGTATGCGGGGGTAGTCATGCCATGGCGGTGGCAGTTCTAGTTATATTTTATGGTATTGGTGCATTAACCATCTAATATAAAAATATTTTAAAGTTATTTTTGATATTTTTATGTGGTTGCCTTGGTTTATTGTGCCCCCACTATAGGGGGGGCATTTACATTTACCCTTCTCCATCCGTCTGTCCATCCTTCCGTCCGTCCGTTCCCTTTTTGTGTAGCACGTAGCTCAAAAAGTAATTGACCTAGAGTCATGAAACCTTATTGAAATATTGATCAGCATGTGAAGTTGTGCACCTGGGTATTTTGATGTGGATATATATAGTATTTATAGAGTTATTGCCCTTGACTTGGTAAAGTTTTCCAATTTTCAACTTGTGTCGCATGTAACTTAAAAGGTATTTGACCTAAAGTCATGAAACTGTACAAGAATGCTGCTCAGCATGAGTAGTTGTGCACCTGGGTATTTTTGTGTGGATATTTATAGTATTTGTAGAGTTATTGCCCTTGACTTTGTAAAATTTTCAACTTGTGTCGCACGTAACTCAAAAAATAGTTGACCTACAGTCATGAAATCTTACAAGAATGTTGCTCAGCATTTATAGTTGTGCACTTGGCTATTTTTGTGTGGATATTTTCAGTATTTTTAGAGTTATTGCCCTTGACTTAGTAAAAAATTACAATATTTAATTTGTGTTGCACATAATTCAAAAAGTTTATGACCTGTAGGCCTGAAAGTTTACAAGAATGTTGGTCAACATGGGTAATTTATAATGCACCTTGGGGACTTCTTGTGGCTTTATTCAGTAAAATTAGTATTTGCCCTTTACTTAATAAAATATTTTTAGTTTTCGACTTGGGCACATGTAGCTAAAAAAATTGACCTAGATACATAAGGTTGACAAATCCGTGGTGTGTGGGGGCACTTGTGTCCTCTGGACACATTTCTAGTTGGTATATAATATGTAAGCCTGATTAATTAAGCATGAACGTTTAACTAACTTGTTTTTCCTACTGCCAAACTGTTGTTGTGAAAAAGACATCCCGCATTCAAAAAATATCTTGATGTCTCTTTGACAAGTCTAAATACTAATTTTAAGACTTATTTTATGTACAGTTACAGCTCTGCATATTGATTAACTTATTTTTAATTTATTGATCTACTGTATGAACTAGTTTCATTACTTTTTTCTCATTTCGTATTTTTATTTTCAGTTAAGAAATCACCAGAATGAGATAGATTTATTCTTGAACAAGGTTGGAATATTGTACAAGTCTGTCAATACTATAGGTTCATATGATAGTATTGGTGAAGCAGCAGCCAGGAACTGGGCCATGTAATACATCTATTTATTTTATGCTTTTCAGTGGATTACTGATTTATCCGTGAAAATTATATTTGATAATTTCACAGTGAAAATTATCAAAATATAATTTCACTTTTTTCAATGACGAAACTACTTTTTTAAGATTTTCCCCATGTGGTACCTCAATTTTATTTTTACTGACAATTCTGACAATGTCAGGCTGTTAAAAGAAATAGCAAAGCTGAAATAGATAAATAACTTAAATGTCAAAAGTAACACAGAGAGAAAACTTACTTCTATTCCTTCAAATTCCAATCACCAAATTTTGTCTCTAAATTTTTTTTGTTTCGTTTTTACAGTCTGAAAAATACATTCCTTCCCCATGCAAAACGGGCTCTTGATGACATTTGGGCATATTAAAGTATCCTACGAGCAATAACTGCCGTATGCTTTATGAAAAATTGAAAAGCATTGATAGCCATCACTCGTAAAATAAGTTAAAACAACCCAGCGTTCTATCAGCAAGCTTCCAATTTTTCCATTTTCCTAGCTCCTTTTCTGAATGTTTTCACTTCTGTCAACACTTATTTTTTGTCTGTTACAATCCTCAAATAAGTTTTCTTTCTTTTAAAAAGGTGTATGACTAACAAATCCAAATTATATCCTTCTGAATCTTACACAATTATTTTCCTCCCATGAAATACACAACTTTAAAAAATGGCTGCCGTTTACATTTTAGAAAGCCAGGTCTAATATAAATTCGCAGTAAGTAACAGAAATATGGATGGATGGTTGGAATTTTCTCCTGCAAAGAATTGTTTGTTTTTATGATTAAAACAAGCGATCATTCATATTTTTTTAATAAAATGAATAAATATCACCGTCATTTAACCTTGATTGGCGGACTTATTTTTCAGCTCAAGACTTCTTGTTTTAAATGAGAAATTCGGTCTAAATGGGGCTCTCAATGGGGAAACAGATTTTAAAAATTAACGTTAAAATTATGGAAATTTCGTTTTAACTTGTTTTTAAGCATAAAATAAAAAGAAAATTTGTCTGTTTGTTGTGTAAGATGTAATTTTATTTCATCTCGTGAACTTTAAAAACAGTATTCTCACTCGTGGCTACGCCACTCGTGAGAATACTGTTTTTAAAGCTCACTCGATGAAATAAAATTTCATCTTACACACAAACAAACAAATATCCTCTATATAATTATTATATACTTATAAATGAAATATTGAGAGATATTGACGAAATAATATGCAGTGGTAAAATTTTCGTATTTTCACCAGTATCTTGCCAGACTACTTTCCTCTACATTCAGCCAGTACACAAAATGAAAGTGGAATTCTTTTGAATTGTAAGATAAAAAAAGAACTAAACAAAAAATTCAAGTTTTTATATAAATAAAGATATTTTTTTTCTTTCTTGTGGTATGAAAATTGCCACATTTTACTTGTGGCTACCACCACTCGTGAAATGATTCATACTGTTTGATGAAAATAAAAAAACTTGAATATGCTCTGACTCTATATTTAAATCTTTATACTGTTGGTAGCTCAATATTAGTATTTTTATATCCCTTTGAAATAGAGTGGACTTTTCCAAATTCAAAGTTGGGCATATCCATCAGACCTATTGAGTAAGTAATGGGTTAACTGAAACATTTTTAAAGTTTAAAATTTATGAGAATTTAGGTGGCAAATATTATCAATTCAATGTTTTTGTTTTATTTTTTATAGACATAGTTTAACAGACTAATTATTTAGCAGACAGTTGGACATCAAGTTCGGGGTGTATGTCAGGAAGATACCATTAATCATGAGAAATTACAGGTTAGTTTATAAAAAAACATACAATTATGATAGTAGGGGTGGCAGGATAGGTGTGATGCCAGAATTTTAAGTTATCAGTTCCCAACCGGTTTAACTGGAGGAAACTAGGTTTACCCTTTGTTTTGTCTTTTCATTTGTCCGTCTGTCCATCGGCATTTTATCTGGAACAAATCACTGAAATCAACAAGAAAATTCATTAACAGGCCTTAAACCATTTCTACTTTTATTACCTTCTAACTTTTTATTATGCTAGAGTTATGCCCCTTTTACTTTGAAAATAATGTGAAATTTTAGGTTTGCATTCATTATCTCCCCAACGGTATTACACATTCAACTTAAACTTGATATATGAATATGTCATGAAAAGATACAGGTCAAGTTCGAATTTGGTCATGGTTAAATGATTTTTGACAGAGTTATGCCCCATTAACTTTGAAAATAATATGAAATTTTACTTTCCGTTCATTATGTCCCCAACAGTATTACACATTCAACTCAAACTTGACATATGAATATGTCAAAAGAATGCACAGGTCAAGCTCGAATTTGGTCATGGTTCGATGATTTTTGGCAGAGTTATGCCCCTTTTACTTTGAAAATAATATGAAATTTTCAGTTTCCCTTCATTATCTCCCAAATGGTATTACACATTCAACTCAAATTTGACAAATGGATCTGTTAAAGGAATGCGCAGGTCAAGTTTCAAGTTGGTCATGGTTTGATGATTTTTGGCAGAGATATTTTTCACTTTGAAAATAATATAAAATTTTCAGTTCCCGTTCATTATCTCCTCTAGGGTATTAATCCCTTTAAACTTTGAAAAAAGAAAGAAATTTTAAGTCTCTGTTCATTATCTCCCCAATGGTTGTACACATTCAACCCAAATTTGACATATGGATACATCAAAAAAATGCACAGGTCAGTTTTGAATTTTGTCATGGTTTGATGTGTTTGGCAGAGTTATGCCCCTTGAACTTTGAAAAAAAAGGCAATTTTCAGTTCCCATTCATTATCTCCCCAACAGTTGTACATATTCAACTGAAATTAAAGATATGAATATGTTATAAGAATGCATTGGTCAAGCTCGAATTTGGTCATGGTTTGATGATAGCTTACAGAGTTATCCTTCTTGAACTTAGAAAAAAAAGAAGAAATTTTAAGTTTCCGTTCATTATCTCCCCAATGGTTGTACACATTCAACCCAAATTTGACATATAGATACATCTTAAACAGTTAAGTTTGAATTTGGTCGTGGTTCAATGATTTTAGACAAAGTTATCTTTCTTGAATGTTGGAAACATTTTGAATTTTCGGTTTCAGCACTCGTACTTTTGTGGAATGAATGTAGCGGTTATTATGGCTACAAATATGCAATATGGCATCAATATGCAAATTACAAAAGGTTAACAATGAATACTTTCAGTGCCTTGAACTTTGTATAAAAATGGTTTGTGTTAACATTGACTAGTTAAGGGCTTTGAACTTAAAATGAAAAAAAAATTGTGCAAACAAATTTGGAACTAACTATTATAACATTTGAAATTTTGGCTGCATGTGTGGGCATTCGTGGCGTGACGACACATTTCTTGTTTCTATTTTTCTTCCAAAACCGCCTGTAGCTACTCCTACTGTTTAATTGAAATATTAAATGCTACCCAAGTAGGGCCTAGTAGAAGAACCATGACCTTTGACTTTCAACAAAGACATGATTGCTATATAAAGAGTGTTACAAGAATAAAGAAATATTTACAAATAATTTCTCATATTCTCAATGTGCCAAATTATTTCAATAATCATCCATGAATTAATGTCAAAGACAAACTAGACACAATGTAATGTTTTGAAATCCAAAAAAATATAACTTTCATATTTCTAGCTGTTTATACTTGGTGTTTGTGTGTGACAAGTTTTCCTAATGTGTCACAATAATATGCCTTGTTATCTTGAATTCTATTAATGAAGGACAAAATGACCAGATATGACTATTTATGTACTTTTATGAAATTATACCTTATAGTCTTAGTTAAACCATTGATCTTTAAGCTTCAAACATGCTTGTACTCATAACAAATTTAAACCTAAACATATAAAATATGTCAATGAATGACAAATATATTGACTGGACATGACTGACAATGCATTACCATATCATGACTTTGGACATTCAAATATGAATTTGACCTTTCGCCTCCTGAACATAATTTTGTTCATTATATGTCATCTTAAAGACATTTTCGGTAGTTTTATTATGCGCATCGTAATGCGCTTCCAAGAAAGATAATTACGGATAATAACTCTTCAAAAAGAAGGTCAAGTTGAATAGTACTCGGATAACTGTTTAAATTCCGGCTATAAGCAAAAAATGAGTAAATATTTAGTATTTTTAGAGTTATTGCCCTTGACTTAGAAATTTTTTGCAATTTTCAACTTGTGTCGCATGTAACTCAAAAAGGATTTGACAAAAAGTAATTAAACCTTACAGGAAGGTTGCTCAGCATATTAAGTTTTGCACCTGGGGTTTTGCTTGTGGATTTAGCCAGTATTTGTATAGTTATTTCCCTTGACTTAGTAAAAACCGTTTCATTATGTTATTATTTGTTCTTGAGTGCTTGAGTTAGAATCAACCAACTTTACAGGAATAATGATCAACATCACAAAATTACAGGAATAATGATTCACATCACTGTGAAGCTATGCACCTGGGACAATGAATGTGGATTTTTAGCTCACCTGTCACAAAGTGACAGGGTGAGCTTTTGTGATCGCTTTTCGTCCGGCGTCCGTCCGTCCGTAAACTTTTACTTTAAATGACATCTCCTCATAAACCACTAGGCCAATTTCATCCAAACTTCACAGGAATGTTCCTTTGGTGGTCACCTTTAAAAATTGTTCAAAGAATTTAATTCTATGCAGAACTCTGGTTGCCATGGCAACTGAAAAAAACTTAAAATATCTTCTTTAAAAAAACCCAAAGAGGTAGAGCTTAGATATTTGGCATGAAACATCTTCTAGTCAGTGTCTACCAAGTTTGTTCAAATAAAAGCCCTGGGGTCAAAATTGGCCCCGCCCCAGGGGGTCATTGATTTTCCCTATATGCATATAGTAAAACCTTAAAAAATCTTCTTTAAAAGAACCCAAAGAGCTAGAGCTAAGATATTTAGCATGAAACATCCTGTAATGGGTGTCTACCAAGTTTGTTCAAATAAAAGCCCTGGGGTCAAAATTGGCCCCGCCCCAGGGGGTCATTGATTTTCCCTATATGCATATAGTAAAACCTTAAAAAATTTCTTCTTTTAAAAAACCCAAAAGAGGTAGAGCTTAGATATTTGGCATGAAACATCTTCTTGTCAGTGTCTACCAAGCTTGTTCAAATAAAAGCCCTGGGGTTCAAATTGGCCCTGCCCCAGGGGGTCATTGATTTTCCCTATATGCATATAGTAAAACCTTAAAAAATCTTCTTTCAAAGAACTCAAAGAGCTAGAGCTAAGATATTTAGCATGAAACATGTTCTAATGGGTGTCTACCAAGTTTGTTAAAATAAAAACCCTGGGGTCAAAAATTGGCCCAGCCCCAGGGGGTCATTGATTTACCCTATATGCATAATTATAGTAAAACTTAAAAAATCTTCTTTTAAAAAACCCAGAGAGCTAGAGCTTAGCTATTAAGCATGAAACCTCTTCTAGGGGGTGTCTAACAACTTTGTTCAAATAAAAGCCCTGGGGTCAAAATTGGCCCCGCCCCAGGTGGTCATTGTTTTTCCTTTTATATATATAGTTAAAACATAAAAAATCTTCTTTTAAAAAATCTTAAGAGCTAGAGCTAAGATATTTAGCATGAAACATCTTCTAATGGGTGTCTACCATTTTTGTTAAATTAAGGGCCCTGGGGTTAAAGAATTGGCCCTCCCCAGGGGATCATTTATTTTCCTTTTATGTATATAGTAAAAGCTTAAAAAATGCTCTGTTAAAAAGCCCAAAGAGCTAGAGTTTAGATATTAAACATGAATTATCTTCTAGTGAGTGTTTACCAAGTTTGTTCAAATAAAAGCCCTGGGGACACAAAATTGGCCCGCACAGAGGGGGGGGGGGGGTCATTGTTTTTCACTATATGTGTATAGTAAAAACTTAAAAATTTTCTTAGAGCTAGAGCTTAGATATTTATCATGAAACATCTTCAAATGGGGATCTACCAAGTTTGTTCAAATAAAAGCCCCTGGGTTAAAATGAGCCCCGCCGCGGGGGCCTTTATACAGGTGAGCGATTTCAGGGCCATCATGGCCCTCTTGTTTTCAGTTTTGTTAGAGTTATTGCCCTTGACTTACAGTAGTATACATTTGCAGTTTTCAATTTGTTCATGCATAGCTCAAAAAGTATTTCACTTGTATGCCTGAAAGTTTACAAGAATGTTGGTCAGCGTGTGTACTTATGCACCTTGGGGTTTGCTTTTGGATTTATTCAGTATTTGTAAAGTTCTTGCCCTTTACTTAGTAAAAGATTTTTAGTTTTCAAAAAATATTTGACCTAGATTAATAAGATTGACAGAACATTGGCACGGTGGGGGCACCATTGTCCTATGGACACATTTCTAGTTATTTCTATTTTTGAATCCACCATAAAAGTTTACTTGATATATCAAAAATGTAGAAAATTCTATGAAAGAAATTTTTGATAGCTTTAATTATTTACAGAATTCATGTCATATTTTTCTCATTTTTTGTTCAGTTAAGAAGCATGAAAAAAAAAAGAAATATATTCAGATTATCATTTGTTTATACAGAACCCTTAGATAAAGCAGGTTTTGTATAAAATTTTGCTTGTTGTGTGTGTAATATACTGTCTTATAACACAGTTTGGCTGTTTTGACATGTGAGGAAGCTATCCAGAAATAATGCACGTGAGGTCTTCCTCCACCAGTAAAGCGATATGACCTATACTGTGTCGATGTGACGTAAAACGCAAAACAAAACAAAAACACAGTTTGGCTATTTTGACAGTTTTGAGATATACGGTTACCATGGAAACTGCCATTTTTCAAAAAATCTAACACATCAACAAATATTTTTGTGCCCCCACGTTAGTGGCGGGCATTTAGATTTACCCTTGTCCGTCCGTCCTTCCGTCCGTCCGTTCACTTTTGTGTCGCACGTAACTCAAAAAGTATTTGACCTAGAGTCATGAAACTTAACAGGAATGTTGATCAGCATGTGTAGTTGTGCACCTGGGTATTTTTGTCTGGATATTTTTAGTATTTTCAGAGTTATTGCCCTTGTCTTAGTAAAATTTTGCAATTTTCAACTTGTGTCGCATGTAACTCAAAAAGTATTTGACCTACAGTCATGAAACTTTACAGGAATGTTGATCAGCATGTGTAGTTGTGCACCTGGGTATTTTCGTCTGGATATTTTTAGTATTTTCAGAGTTATTGCCCTTGACTTAGTAAAATTTTGCAATTTTCAACTTGTGTCGCATGTAACTCAAAAAGTATTTGACCTAGAGTCATGAAACTTTACAGGAATGTTGATCAGCATATGTAGTTATGCACCTGGGTATTTTCGTGTGCATATTTTTAGTATTTTCAGAGTTATTGCCCTTGACTTAGTACAATTTTGCAATTTTCAAATTGTGTCGCACATAACTCAAAATGTATTTGACCTAGAGTCATGAAACTTTACAGGAATGTTGATCAGCATGTGTAGTTGTGCACCTGGGTATTTTCGTCTGGATATTTTTAGTATTTTCAGAGTTATTGCCCTTGACTTAGTAAAATTTGGCAATTTTCAACATGTGTCGCACATAACTCAAAAAGTATTTGACCTAGAGTCATGTAACTTTACAGGAATATTGATCAGCATGTGCAGTTGTACACCAGGTATTTCCGTCTGGATTTATTTAGTATTTTTAGAGTTATTGCCCTTCACTTAGAAAATTTTTGCAATTTTCAACTTGTGTCGCAAGTTTCTCAAAAAGGATTTGTCAAAGTCAATAAACCTTATGGGCAGGTTGCTCAGCATATTTTAGATTTGCACCTGGGGTTTCGCTTGTGGATTTATCCAGTATTTGTAGAGTTATTTCCCTTGACTTAGTAAAAAGATTGACAGAACAGTGTCGCGGTGGGGGCACCCGTGTCCTATGGACACATTTCTAGTTATTTTTGAATTCGCAATTAAATTTTACATATCATAAATTTTTTTTCAGAAAATTCTATGAAAGGATTAAATTTTCATGAAACTGTAGAAATTGTCTTTAAATGAGTTCTTTACAACAGTATTTACAAAAGAAAATTTGGACTGTGTACCTAACATGAAAGATAAGACTGTGCTAAAAGACCTTGATTACATACATATCTCTGAGAGTGAGGTGTTGAGATTATTAAAGGAACTTGATCCAAATAAATCAAGGGGTCCAGATGATATACACCCATACATAATAAAGAGTCTGGCTGATGTTAAGAAAGTCACTTGAAAACAGATTACTTCCAAATGTAATTGGAAAGATGCAAGAGTATCGCCAATTTTTAACAAAAACTGTCGGTAGGACAGCAACGCTCGACTATTCTTAGTGCTTGATAGTAAAAAAGCCTTGATAATGTAAAAATATCTAAGTTAACAAAAGGATAAAAATTTTCTTTAAATCCATGTTACAGTTATAGGCCTTAGAGAGAGTCCTATTATGCTCTTCAAGAAAAGAATAAAATTTCAACTTGATGTCAATGGACTTTAAAAATATTTGAGGTATTACAAAAACTTTAAAGTAAATTCTAAGTAAAAAAGGCGCATAATTCTGTCAAAATACTTGATACAGTTACGTCATCCTGTCTATAGTTCGGGGTCATGATGGTGAAAAAATGTGAAAAGTTTCAAAGCCATAATTATGTCAATGGACTTTGAAAATAAATGAGGTATTACAAAACTGTAACGTAAATTCAGAGTCAAAAAAGGGGCATAATTCTGTCAAAATGCTTGATAGAGTTACCTCCTCCTGTCTACAGGTTGGGGTCATGATGGTGAACAAGTGTGCAAAGTCAAAGCCATAATTATGTCAATGGACTTTGAAAATAATTGATGTATTACAAACACTTTAACGTAAATTCTAAGTCGAAAAGGGGGCATATTTCTGTCAAAATGCTTGATACAGTTACCTCCTCAAGTCTACAGATTGGTGTCATGATGGTGAACAAGTGGTCAAAGTTTCAAAGCCATATGTCAATGGACTTTGAAAATAATTAAGGTATTACAAAAACTTTAACGTAAGTGGTTAAGCCGACACCTACACTCGGCATACTCTAATAGCTCTACTTATTATTATACCCCCAAAAACGAAGTTTGGGGGGGTATATAGGAGTCACCCGGTGGTCGGTCGGTCGGTTGGTCGGTCGGTCCAGACGTCCGTTGCATTTTCCTTGTCCGGAGCATAACTTGAAAACTAATGGTTGGAATTCAATATAACTACATACAATGGTCAAGCACATTGAGAGGAAGTGCAGTGCACAAGAACCATAACTCTATCTTGACTAATTACAGAGTTATTGCCCTTTGTTACTTTTCCTTGTCCGGGGCATAACTTGAAAACTACTGGTTGGAATTCAAAACAACTTCATGCAATTGTCAAACACAATAAGGGGAAGTGCAGTGCACAAGAACCATAACTCTATCTAAAGTAATTACAGAGTTATTGCCCTTTGTTGCTTTTCCATTGCCTTCTTTTTTTTGTCCGAACCATAACTGGAAGACTAATGGTTGGAATTAAATATAACTACATACAATGGTCAAGCACATTGAGAGGAAGTGCAGTGCATAAGAATCATAACTCTATCTAAAGTAATTACAGAGTTATTGCCCTTTATTACTTTTCCATTGCTTTCTTTTGTCCGGACCATAACTTGAAGACTAATTGTTGCAATTCATTATAACTTCATACAATGGTCCAGCACATTGAGAGGAAGTGCAGTGCACAAGAACCATAACTCCATTTTGACTTATTACAGAGTTACTGCCCTTTGTTTCTTTTCCTTGTCCAGAGCATGACTTTAAAACTACTGGTTGGAATTCAAAACAGCTTCATACAATGGTCAAGCACAATAAGGGGAAGTGCAGTGCACAAGAACCATAACTCCATCTTGACTAATTACAGAGTTATTGCCCTTTGTTACTTTTCCATTGCTTTTTTTTGTCCGGACCAGAACTTGAAGACTTATTGTTGGAATTCATTGTAACTTCATACAATGGTCAAGCACATTGAGAGGAAGTGCAGTGCATAAGAACCATAACTCCATCTTGACTAATTACAGAGTTATTGTCCTTTGTTACTTTTCCTTGTCCAGAACATAACTTGAAAACTACTGTTTGGAATTCAGTACAACTTCATACAGTTGTCAAGGACATTAAAAGGAAGTGCAGTGCACAAGAGCCATAACTCCATTTTGACAAAATTCAGACTTACTGCCCTTTGATACTTTTCCTTGTCCGGAGCATAACTTAAAACATACTGGTTGGAATTCAAAACAACTTCATACAATGGTCAAGCACAATAAGAGGAAGTGCAGTGCACAAGAACTGTAACTCTATCTTCAGTATTTATAGAGTTATTGCCCTTTGTTCTTTTTCTTTGTCTTTCTGGACTTATTACAGATTAATTCAATTAAACTTCATCAATGGCCAACCACATTGAAAGGAAATGCAACATATATGAATTATCTTTAATTGCCCACAACCATAACTCTATGTTTCAATTATATTACAAGGTATTCTGTTACTAGTAACATCCTCATTTCCGAAGCAGACTTGTGGGGGTATAAATCACGTTTAGTGATAGTTCTAGTTATCGAATAGTCGAACTGAAAAAGGAACAAAAACAAATCCTAGTAACTATCGCCCAGTTAGTCTAACATCAATATTGTGTAAAACATTGGAAAAAATTATTCGAAAACACATAATGAAACATATTGAGAAAAATAAATTATTATCTGACAATCAGTATGGTTTTCGGACAAGAAGGTCTTGTTCTTAACAACTTCTAAATGTATTGGAAGAATGGAATATTATATGGAAAATTATCAAAGTTGGGACACCATATATCTTGATATAGAAAAGGCTTTCGAAAAAGTCCCACATGTACGTTAACTTAATAAAGTGTCATCTTTTGGAATCAAGGGAAATGTATTAATGTGGATAAAAAGTTTTCTTTGCAATAGAAGACAGTGTCTATCAATTAAAGGTAGTACATCATTGTGGAAAGCAGTGGATAGTGGAGTGCCACAAGGTAGTGTGTTGGGGCCGGTACTTTTTATTAGTTGGGACATTATATGTCCCAACTAGTGCACTTACAAACCCGAAATTTCCAACCATACAGGGTAACGCCCACTGCTGTGACGTTTCATCGCCACTCTAAATGCTATATTGTATTCTAACATATCAACGTAAGCTGAATTCATAGTGATCACCCGACCATGACCGACGCATAACCGCCGCGAGTGAAAAATAGTGCTCTGAATTTCTGAAAACTTCCATTTATTGCGAACAGAAGTGGAGACAAGAAATTTATTTTTTGAAAATAATGTGCAATTGAGCTTGAATTACGGTATTAGAAACGTAGCGGATATAATTTGAAAGGTCACATAATTCTATGAATGGGATAGTAAATTAATTGGGTCATAGTGCTTGACGGCTTGCAATATTTAACTTACTCATCCGCCTTATCATCACATTTTTTTGTATTATATTCCAGAATTTTTGAAAAAGACATTATTTATCGGATAAATTTTGTAGTTTATAATTGCAAAGTGGATATTGAAATAGAATTAGCCAGAGATGTAGATAATCTATTCGTCTCTGAATTAGCCGATAATTAGGTTAAATGAATCCGACAACTTCCGGTATATTTTTCGACCTACTTCACGAGCATAATTATCAGCCTGTTAAGCTCATAAGGTATGTTATAAAGCAAAATATGTTATGAATTTGATGACTAATAATATTATGTTTATTTATTGATGCCCATTTGTTTCCGAGGACTAAAACTTTCGTAAATAATTTCGAAGTAATTTGGAGATCTCGAGTCTTTCGTACCCAAGACATTTCGATCATACTTAGACTGCAAAACCGACAGATTTTACAAATTGATATTACACAGATGTCTGCCTTTACAGGAAAACCGGCATATACGCCTACAATTTTTTGGTCTTGTCACGGCCGTTACGTCTCTACCAAATGGGGCACATTCTTGAATATTTCAGAATAATTTTATTTTGACCTTTATAAATTATTATATCCCGAAACAACCAATTTTCAATCACAACCTAAATTCAAACACATTCTTAATTCTGTGGCACGGATGTCATGCCTGACTAAATTGCATAAAGTCACATGTTGTATTAACTTCAAAACTTGCAGAAATGCCACACTTGATTAATTGTCAGATGTTTTCAGAAAAACAATAAGAAACTGTTTGTTTTAAGTGACACAATATAAATTGTCCAACTTTCACTATATCAATATAGTCACTTGTTTAAAATAGTGGTAAAATTTTTTCTAAGCAAGTTAATTTTTTTATAAAGTATTGGCAAAAGAGTTTTACCATTTACCTCAGTCCAAGGTGTATTTAAAACATTTATTTATATGATGACTGATGTACCACTAAATATTCATCAGACTTACACAGGGGTCCTTATTAATAAAATCTTATATTGTTATCAATTTTTTTCATGTGATGATTGTAGAATAATTGTTTTGTAAGCGATACCAGCTGGCAGATCTAGACAAGTTTCCATATTTGCTAATATTTTAAAGTGGGGAAGGTAAAATGGCTGTAAAGATTGGATGCATTTATCATTTTGCACCCCAAATAGCGTACTAAGAAGTGACACCTTTAACTGCCTTTTTAAACACATTAACAGTAGTCATACCAATGCATTGTGCTGTACACATGTTATAACATTTAGTGTAAGTTTTTTAAAATCTTGAAAAAAATGTTGAAAATTGTTGAATACTGTAGACTATTGTGAAGTTTTCTACAATTTTTAGTAGCCCTGATTTATCTTTAACAAATTTTCCATGGTGATTACCCTGCTGTTTGAATTTAGGTTAAAATATTCCTGGGAGTAACCAGAGTGGGTCATATTGTTTTTATTGAATTTCTAAGAAAGATCAAGACTTGTTGAAAATGTACCAACCTGAAAATGAATAAGTGTTAATAGATGCATTAATAGCTAAAATAAATTTAAAGTATAATTTCCCCTTCCATTTATTATTGGCTAAAAACAGCTTAACTGATTGAATATTGGTTGTCCCGGGATATATATCTATTTAAAGTCTAGCCATTTCATTTTGGGTCATCTTTTTACAATTTGAATAATTATTCTGGAAAAACGAAGTGCGCAAATGATCTAAAGGTTTGTACAAAGATTAGTGTTCTAAACATTCATCAAATGGTACATTTATCTGGAAAAAATATTTCAGTCCCATCATGACAAAATACCTCAATGGAACCACTTTAAATTGAATTACACTTTTTTTAAATGTATGGGTAAATTCCATTTTCAGTGGTTGAAATTTTTCCTCTTTTCTGATTAATCAAGCTATAGTTTCCCATTTATAAAGCCACAGGTTGTTTTGAAAGTTGAAAAAAAAATCACTGCCACCTTGATAATTGTTAACCTGAAAAATCTTCAGGCACTTAAAGGGATTTGAACCCCAGACCTCTTGATTACAAGGCAGACACACAACCATGTCGCGAAAATGTCAACACAACAGCAAGACTGTTGGAAATGATCTATACCTGTTCTCAATACATGGTTGAAGTAATTTATCAGTGTTAATTAGACATTTTATATGATTTAACAATTTTTGACACTACTGATATTCACATTTTTTTCACAAATCTACATGTAAAAAATAGATATCATAATAAAATGATAGAACATTTTCTATTTTAGTGGTAATACTGTGGAGTAATATGAAGAAATATTATTAATATTTTATTATCATAAATTTTTCAAATTTTAATTATGTCATTACATGCTGTACACAATCATATTATAGTGTAAACATATATATACATTGTATAGACACATATATACATTGTATATACCAGAGACGTTAAAATACATAAAATGTATTTATATGTCTCTGTATAATATACACACACTAAGAGAGTAGTATTGGATGATTTTGAAAATGAAATCTCTAAATTGATATTTTCAGGGAAATAAAAGATTATTTACTTTAATATTCACTTGGAAAGGCTGGTACATGTAGCTAGAAAAAAGTACAGTATAAGATTAAAGAAAGACTAGAAGATTATTACAAACAACAGGTACTTATATAATATTTAATGTATATTTCACAAACCAAACTGTTTTCCCAAAAAATTAATGAAAACATGCATTTTTACCAGTGTCACCATGGGTCAGATTAACAGACCCATTCCCAGTGGCAAATAATGCCAAATATGCTTTTTTTCTTTTCCAAGTTTAGAAAAAAAGTCAAAATTCCGTTATCAAAGCTGACAATTTTTCTTCATTCCATTTCAATCCAATATGGTACCAGACAGATGATGTTCAAAAACACATTCCATTGTCAATTTTTTATGTATTTTTTATGTATTTTTTATGCTTTGAATGATATACAATTTGTTGGATTAACAACTTTGTACATGGTACTAAATATTTTTCCCAATCAAGATGCAAAATTTCTTAACCCATTACTTCATGAGCATTTTGTGAAAAATGGCTGTTTCCATTGAAAAGTCTCCCGTTACAAGTTCAAATTGCTATAATACTATAAAAACTGCTTCAACACTAATCAAACTTGGCACAAATGTTGACTGGACCATTGCCCTTGCAACAACATGCTCAGGCTTAAATTTTCTGTTACCATTGGCAACGAGGGGACATCTCAAAATTGCCCAAAATCACTATTTTGCCTCGATTTTTTCAATCAAAATTGATTTCAAAGTGATGCCACTTTTCAATGGATTGAGATATAGTCAAATGCTTTTCAGCGTTGGTTACACGTTACCTTATGATCAATCTGGGGTCATTTACAGCCTCTCACAAGTCCAAAATTTTCTTGGCATCATGCTTAGAATGGTTTCACACAGGTCAGTAAGACCGGTGTACACAATGTACTGTCTGCACATATGTGTCAGAAAAAATATCACAAAAAAGGAATTTAGTATTACTATGAGTATTTATTAAAGAAATTGTATTTCAAATATATTTAAATAGTATTATTGAAAGTCATTTTGTATGACAGACACACAAATCTAGTGCTCTGCATTATAAATGTAAGAAGAGACAAATAAGATAAGCATTTTTTTGCAAATTATTGCACTTCATATAATTTTTATTGCTTTTTTTTTAAGGTGGACATGTGTCACTGTCAAGCAAATGAAGATAAGCATCACACTCGGTGGGAATCCCCAGTTTCCAGATGTAGTGATCATAACTGTATAGGCACCATTAACACTTTGGACTTGTTGGAGTATTTTAGAGGGCTAGTCTGAATTGAATCCCCTGTCAATAGTAAAGGCCAGTCATGAACATTGTGTTGAAGGAAAATGTTAAAACTCGGATTTTCCGCTTAACCAATCATTACTTTACCTTATATTCAGTGCGGTAATGTAGGAAATGGTTACTTTCTGGAACGGAGCTGTCAATTATTTTTAATTTTTTAGCTTGTTAGTGTTATCGTCGGACAGTTGTGAAGTAAAGACATCGCAGTTTGACTGTATACAAGTTGCCTTAAAGAAAGTATGTCAAAATCTTAACAGTTATTCGTTGATTTTGTAGAAATTGACCAGAATTCACCTTTGTTTACACGCATCGCTTGGACGTCAAAAACAACATGCAATGACATTTCAGTGAAATTTGGAAACTTGCTCGTATTTTGGAGCATTTTGTAGGATTTCGATGAAGTAAAAAGTGTTTCTGATACATTATTCCTAGAGACAACCACAAAGATAAAATAGTGATCTGGTGTATTTTTACCGAACAGTTCTTGTTTGTTTTGCATGATATTTTTCTCTCGTTAGGGACCTTTATTCTTTATATATAGTATTATGAGCGTATATATGGGTAAATGTGGTATATAGTGCCTGTGGTTTTAACATGTATCTTAGCTTGCCTGGTGTAATGATAAGTAATAAACCTGAGAATTGAAACTATGAGAATAAATTGTTGTTATTAGTCCCCTTCTATTTTCATTAAGAGGGGACTAAAGGCTGACCCATTTCTGTATGTCAATGAAAGCTGAATTTTGCTATAACTTAAATGGTACAAAAGTAAGGTTCATCATACTGGTATCTGATATAGAACTATACAGAGATTTAGCATGTTATTATAATTTATGCTCCTGAAAGGGAGAGAATATAGTTGCGGTCTTAACCATCTGTCGGTATGGACTCAAGTAATATTCTGGATAAATATCTGTGTTCATTCCATACAGACTTGTACTTTTGGGGAAAAAGGTTGCTCATGGGAGGAAAATATGTTTTTAATGGTGTTTTTGAGATTTTAGTTGATAAAGGAAAAAAAACATAGTCTGTACTTAGGAAGACATTTGTCCTTCACACTCTTGTCCGAAATATGAATATAACTAGATATGTATTGAAGGGATTTTATGTAAACTTCACAAAGTGATAGAGACTTTTAAGAGGAAGTGCAATGTTCAAGAAACATAACTCTACCTTGCTTCATGTTTTAATTATATTCCTTAAGTTAAAAATGCTTATTCCAAACTATCACTGAATCTACATCAACTTGAACGACTCGAATTTTCCAATGTGTCAAAGAACCATAACTCCATTCCTTAGTTTTTAGCTCACCTGTCACAAAGTGACAGGTCAAGCTTTTGTGATCCCTTTTCGTCTGGCCGTAAACTTTACTTTAAATGACATCTCCTCATAAACCACTACGCTAATTTCATCCAAACTTCACAAGAATGTTCCTTTGGCTGTCACCTTTAAAAATTGTGCAAAGAATTTAATTCCATGCTGAACTCTGGTTGCCATGGGAACCGAAAGAAAAAAACTTTAAATATCACCTTTAAAAAACCCTAAGAGCTAGAGCTTAGATATTTGGCTTGAAACATCCTTTAGTGAGTGTCTACCAAGTTTTTTAAATAAAAGCCCTGGGGTCAAAATTGGCCCCGCCCCAGGGGTCATTGATTTTCCCTATGTGCATATAGTAAAAACTTTATAAAATCTTCTTTTAAAGAACCCAAAGAGCTAGAGCTAAGATATTAAGCATGAAACATCATCTAATGAGTGTTTACCAAGTTTGTTCAAATAAAAGGCCCGGGGTCAAAATTGGTCCTGCCCCAGGGGGTCATTAATTTTCTTTAAATGCATATAGTAAAAACTTAAAAATCTTCTTTTAAAGAACCCAAAGAGCTAGAGCTAAGATATTTAGCATGAACATCTTCTAATGAGTGTCTACCAAGTTTGTTCAAATAAAAGCCCGGGGTCAAAATTGGCCCTGCCCCAGGGGATCATTGATTTTCCCTATATGCATATAGTAAAAACTTCAAAAATCTTTTTTAAAGAACCCAAATAGCTAGAGTTTATATTATAAGTTGAAACATCTTCTAGTGAGTGTCTACAAAGTTTGTTCAAATAAAAGCCCTGGGGTCAAAACTGGCCCTGCTCCAGGGTTGTCATTGTTTTTAACAGTATGTGTTAGTAAAAACTTAAAAAATCTTCTTTAAAAAAACCCAATAAACTAGAGCTTTGATGTTTAGCATGAATCATCTTCTTATGGATGTCTTCCAAGTTTGTTCAAATAAAAGCCCTTGGGTTAAAACTGGCCCTGCAGGGTGGGGGGGGGGGGGGTATATACAGGTGAGCAACCTCAGAGCCATCATGGCCCTCTTATTTAATTATCTACCTTTATTATACATGTACTTAATTATGCTTGTCCAGAGAAATGCTGGAAAAGAGTTGATGAAATTTGATTAAACTTTTACACAGCGAAAATAATCAAGTGAAAGAAAGTGTTTTTTCAAAGAACCCTAATTTTTGTGTCGCCTTGAAAAGGTGACATAATAGGGGTTACTTTTGTCGGCGGCGTCTGTGTCGTTGTCGGCGTCCCCTAAAGCTTGTCCGGAGCATAACTCAGTCACTATAAGTCTGATTGACTTCCAACTTGGTATGCATGCTTCTTTAATAACCCGAAGTGCAGTGCACAAGGACCGGTACTCTGCAGTTCTTATTTTTTGAGTTATTGCCCTTTGTTAATTTTCATACTTTAATTTTGTCCGGGCCATTTCTCTTCAACTAAAAAAGCTATGGACTTGATACTTCATAGGATGATAGATCTCATTAAGAAGAAGTGCAGTGCACAAGAACCAGTACTCTGTACTTCCTAATTTTTGAGTTATTGCCCTTTGTTAATTTTCATATTTTATTTTTGTCCGGGCCATTTCTCCTAATGAATAAAAGCCATGGACTTGAAACTTCATAGGATGATAGGTCTCATTAAGAAGAAGTGCAGTGCACAAGAACTGTTACTCTGCATTTCTTATTTTTTGAGTTATTGCCCTTTGTTTATTTTCATACTTTAATTTTGTCCGGGCCATTTCTCCTTAAGTATAAAAGCTATGGAATTGAAACTTCATAGGATGATAGATCTCATTAAGAAGAATTCCAGTGCACAAGAACTGGTACTCTGCATTTCTTATTTTTTGAGTTATTGCCCTTTGTTGATTTTCTTTCTTTATTTTTGTCCTGGTCATTTCTCCTCGAGTATGAAAGCTATGGACTTGAACCATCATAGTATGATAGATCTTATTGATAAGAAGTGCAGTGTTCAGAAACTGCTGCTCTGAACTTATTATTTTTTTAGTTATTGCCCTTTGTTATTTTTCATACTTCATTTTTGTCCTGGCCATTTCTCCTAAACTACATTGTTCACAAGGCGACACATCCGACTCGCGGAGTTCTAGTTTCTAGCTTAATTTTACAATTATCATCTCTTAAAATACATGTACAACAACTTTTAAAATAATGGTTGTCTGGAGTAAATCTTTTCAATGATATCACACTCAAACTAAATACAGTTGTAGAGACTAGTGAGCAGAAGTCTTGTGTCAAATAACCAAAATTCTACATTACTTAGTTTTTGAATTATCTCCGTATATATTTCATGATACTGTTCTGAGAAAGGATTAAAATATTGAAGGAATTTGATTGAAACTTTATAAACGTTATACAGTGAAAGAGATTAGCATGAGAATTGCAGTAAACAAAGGCCATTATACGTTCTAATGACATGGTCACATTCATATAATGTGATGCAAAAAATATTGACCATTTGAATGTTTACTTGATACTGATACAGAAAATTTGATATATATCACAATTGATTATTTTTCATAGCTTTGTCTCCCTTTATAATGTCATGTGTTAAAATAGTCAAGCTTGCAGTTTCCTCTGGTAGCTCTAATTTCACTTGTTGCTCTTGTCAAAAAAGGCCAATAACGATTTATGATCGACCTACACGTACATGTAACCTAAATATTATATTTGAACATGTGTGTCATAGAATAATTGTATCAACTACTGTTCATTTACTGAATTGTGCACTTTATATTTATCAACCGGCAACACCCTTCACTCATTGAAGTATCTGCCCCGAAATAGAAAAAATAGTTACTTGATCCTTCATACGTCCCAACTGCAGTGCCTTCAGCACTTTGATTATGTATGTGAATGATATCACAGATAATGTCAAATCAAGTATTAAAATATTTGCTGATGATACAAAATTGTATACACCAACTAGCAAGTCGGATGCCCTCCAAAATGATAATGACTTAATTATGAACTGGGCAGAAAAATGGGAAATGAACTTTAATGTTGATAAATGTAAGGTGATGCATTATGATCATGCAAATCCACAAAAACTGTATGTAATGAATAACAAGACTTTATCGGATACTCAAGAAAAACGTGATCTAGGAGTTATTTTTGAAAAAGATCTTAAATTTAGCAAACATATTTCTACAAAGATTAATAAGGCAAATAGTATTTTAGGTCTTATTAACAGGTCCTTTAAGTTTTTAGATGAATACACTTTAGTTTGTGAAATTGTATACAGCTTTGATTCGTCCTCATGTTGAATTTGCAAATGTTGTGTGGAATCCATATTTAATAAAAGACATATCAAGTCTAGAAAAACTTCAACTAAGAGCAACAAAACTAGTTTCATCATAAAAGATCTGACATATATTGACCGCCTTTAAAAGCTTAAACTGCCAAGTCTAATACATCGTAGATTATGAGGGGACATGATTCAGACTTTCAAAATCGTTAATGGCTTAGATTACTGTATTTTTGAATTTTTTTAGTTATTCAGCATCAACAAGGGGACATAATTTAAAACTAGAAATACCTTGTAGTAGAACAACTCATTGCCTACATCAGTTTTCAAGACATGTAATTAAAACATGGAATAATTTGCCAAAAAATATAGTAGACTCAAAAAGTGTTTATGAATTTAAAATAAAGCTAGACCAATACTGGACCGGAGACACTCCATATAAAGTTTAAAATGTTATTTATTGAAAAATTATGCTGTTAAAATCATACAGCAGTGTGAACAGATATAGGTATAAGTGTAAAAGGGCTTGGCCCTTCCATCAGAGCCCAGAATCATCCTATAGGTATCCTACAGGTATGAGTTACAAATTATGGAATCCGGGAACCGGACCCTAGCTCTTATTGAAAAGACCCCTTGGTTCTTTTACATGCCAAGTGTATAGCACTGATACATGCGAGGATTACCTGGATTTCTTACGAGTATACCTCTAGGTAGGTGGGAAACACCAAAAGTGTCTCTGAAAAATCTCATGGGTGTTACCCAGGATCGAACCCGGAACCTCAGAAGTGACAAGTCATTGGTCAAATCTAATTTATCAGATGTTACAGACAAATAATGGAACATGTCCTTAAAATACAGTGAAAAAAAACAACACAAATAACAATTCTGTGAAAATTACAAATAACAAGGGGTACGGGATCCGGCCCACGCAAATGATAAAACAAAATGATGTTCGCGACATCCAAGTTTCAATTAAAAATGTCACCAGTGCCATTGTTTCTGAAAGCACATTTTCGAGTTTTCAATGTCTCCGGATCATAATTATAACCATAACCATTTTTAGCTCGACTTTTCTATGAAAAGGGGAGCTATCCTACTCGCCCCGGCGTCGGCGTTGGCGTCACACCTTGGTTAAGTTTTTCGTACCACCCCACTTTATTTCAGAAGTATTACAAGTATGGCTTTGAAACTTACCATACTTGTTCACCATCATAACCTCCATCTACAGACAAGAGTACATAACTCTGTCAAGGTTTTTGACAGAATTATGGCCCTTTTTTGACTTAGAAAGTGTATTGAGCTTGGTTAAGTTTTTTGTACCACCTCACTTTATTTCAAAACCATTGGAGGTATTGCTTTGAAACTGACCATACTTGTTTACCATCACGACCTTCATCAACAGACAAGAGGACATAACTCTGTCAAGGTTTTTGACAGAATTATGCCCCTTTTTGACTTAGAAAATACATTGAATATGGGTAAAATCCACTTATTGCCTTAACCCTTTGAGATATTGCTTTGAAACTTTTAATGCTATTTCACATCATTACCCCCATCTGTACGCAAGAGAAGGTAACTCTGTCAAGGATTTGTTTTAAAAATTAAGGCCTTTTATCGACTTAGAATCTTGGTTAAGTTTTTAGTACCAGTCCACTTTTTGACTGAACTGTTTGAGATATTAATTTGAAAGTTGGAATACTTGTTTACAATCATGATTCCCAAACATGTCCAGGAGAAGGTAATTCTGTCAAAGATTTTATTTGAATTATGGCCCTTAACTGTCAATGTTTTGTATTATAGGCAAGCACTAAAAAACTTAAAAAATCTAAAAAAATTCATTCCTATCCACTTGTTCACTTTACCATAAATTATGTCATAATAAAATAATTCTTCACTAAATATCTTAATGCTCATGGCCATTGTTCACTTTAAAAATACAGAGATTCTTGTATTGCCTTTTACTGCAAAAACTTTTTTTATTGGCAAGCAATAAAAAAGTCGAGCGCGCTGTCTTACGGACAGCTCTTGTTCTGTGTGTTTTGAAAAAGGTCACCTTTTTGCTCCATTTTTCGTATAAAGGCCTCGAGAGTTGACCAGTTTTCGAAGTATAAAACTTACCCACAACATTTTCTAAGTTATTTTCCACTAATTTGCCACCCAGAAAATAGATTTTCACCTTTTCACTAAATGCCACTTATTTTCCACCTTCAAAATAAACTAAGTTTCATTTTTCACCAATTTCCACCCTTTTGCTACCATGAAAAAAGTCTTATGTTCAAATTTCCACTCAATGCCACTTAAATGCCACCAAAGGATTGTGGCATTTGGTGGTAATTTTGCCACTACAGTGGAAAAAGAGTGGAAGGTGGTCATTTTCCAGTTAATGCCAACTTTTTTACACTGAATGCCACCCTTTTTGGTGGAAATAGCTGGCAAGTAGTGGCAAATCTAGGGTCTTTAATCACTTTAAGTTTGGTATTTATACTATTTACTTACTAGTAGATAATGGTATATTATATACCACATTTTGTATGACCAGACCAGTAACTTTAACATTACCATTCTATATTTCAGTGAGGAATATGGGAGGTCATAAGATGGTGAAGGGGCCATCCAAGTTTCAAAAATATCAATTAAAAGATGACCTTGTAAGTAACTATTGTTATTTCTATTTTAACCTGTCCATGAATTAAACACATAATGATGTCATCATTGTAGGGATATTTGATTGAAAATAAAGGAGAAAAAGAGGCAGAAGGTCTGTTATTATGCTCCCCGAAAAAATTCGGGGGAGCATATAGTTGTCGGGTTGTCCGTCCGTCCGTCCGTACGCACGTCCCAATTTCGTGTCCGGCTCATAACTTTGTTATTTGAAGTCGGATTCTAAAACTTTTTCAAAGAAATGATCACCATATTAAAACGACGTGTCGCGCGCAATATTTGGGTAGCTACCTTGAAGGTCAAGGCCACAGCATGACCTTGCAGCAAAATTGTGTCCGGCCCATAACTTTGTTACTTTAAGACAGATTTAACAACTATTTCACAGAGATGATCACCTTATTGAATTGACGTGTGGCATGCAACATTTGTGTCACTACCTTGAAGGTCAAGGTCACAGCATGACCTTGCAGCAAAATCGTGTCCGGCCCATAACTTCGTTATTTGAAGTCGGATTTTAAAACTTTTTCACAGAAATGATCACCATATTGAGACAATGTGTCATGCACAACATTTGGGTTGTTTTTACACTTTGAACTTTGTCTGTGACATAACTTTGACACTACAAGAGGTATACCTTCATGTGTCCAAAACCTATTCGGGGATCACCCGGTTCAACCGGCTCTTGTTTAAAGAGAAGTGACGCTACAGTGTCTAAAGTCATCAGACAAAAATGATGTTCGGATGATTCATGAATGCTTTTTAAATTAATTGGGCACACTTAATTTGTTTGTTTGTTTGTTTCATTTTACCATTTTCCCAACAGTATTTCAGTCATATAGGCGGGGGCCTCTTAGTAAATAAAAACTTCTTACTTAGAATATGAGAAGCAATACTTACTTACTTAGAATATGAGAAACAGTTACTTACTTACTTAGAATATGAGAAAGTATTTGTAAATGTTTTTGTATTCCAGTAACTCTTTTTATGGTAACCACTACTTGGCGCTGCTTGGGGGAAATTTGTCTGTTTCCAACAACAGTTTTTATTTTTCTGTAAAATACTATTATGTAAGCAAGTTTACATGTAATTCGGTATAATTATGTATGTATACCATACTAACATAAATATTACTAGGGCTCTTATTTCACAAATTATGGAGGAGCAAAGAGCATTCAGGGGATTTTTTCAACTGGGAGGAAAAGGTAATATTTTTTAATAAAAGCTCATGTTGTGGGCCAGATATGATCAGCAAAATATTTAATGTGTTTTTGTACCAGTGAAGGCCTTAAATCATTTGGTAGGATTTTAGGTCAAATGGATCAATTTAAGGTTTTCGTTTAAACATATTTTTTAAGCTCAATTGCGAAACAATTCTTGCAACTTAATTTAATCACATCTGAGTCCACTTCCTGGAACCAACCAGTACAGATGTCATATGAACAAATATGATCGTGACCCGATTAGGGCTTGAACCCATGATCCCTGGGGTTGAGAGTTAGACACAGGGTTTTAACACCCCTTCCACATGTAATAATAATATTACTTTGTTGTGGATATCTAATGTGCCTACACTATAGATCGTACACACCCCTTTTAGTTCAAAATTTACACAAATATTCATCTAATAACAAGGCAATGCCCAGAACCTATATCTGTACTGTGCAGGGTCAAGCTCATCTTGGAGGTCAAATGTCATACAATTTGTGTCCTTTCTATAAATCATAATTCTACCGCCTGAAGTTCAAAATGTACTCTGTGAAGTTCCCGAACAAGGGGATTAAAGAACCTATTCCGCCACTGTGCAGACTCAATGTTAAAATCACCTTTCACCCTTCACCTTTGAAGGTCAAAAGTTCGACAAAGGCAATGTTTGCACGATAAATGATATACATGTACTTTTTGAAGGCCAGTGAAAGCCATCAAACAAAAATAATGATCAATTGCACTATGTAAATTCATTTGTCATAGAGATATTTTGAATATTTGTCACTGCTGTGACAGCTACTAAGTTGAGATTTGATGTAGAATAGATTAGTCAAAAGCTATTAATTTGGTTTTATTATAACTCACTGGTCAAAAATGACGAAAATGTACTTTTACCTCTTTTTTTGTCATATCATTTTCCTTCAAGTGGGTAAATACAAAGCACGCTGTTTACCCTATTTGTCATTCAGCCACATTTTGATACTAAAATTGTTATTTATGTTTTATTTCAGTATTATTTCCTAGGGCTAGGAATAATTCCAGCTGGCTTGTTTATCACATATCTTAATGTTACACAAGGTAAGTTGAAATCAATCATTATTTATAGTAAGACAGAGATTTTGTTTGGCTTATTTTATAGCCGTTATTGGGTCATATTCCCATTTGAAAATGTTATATTATTTTTCCAATCCACAGGAAAAAATTCCCAATTGAAAGTTACAATATAAAATTATTGAATAAAATTTCTAAAATCTTTGAAAAAATAAGGGCTTCTTCACTGTAATTGCAGTGCTTAAATGTTTGAAAATGCCATCCTACATGTACATAGTAATTGTTTGCATCCATTTAATCACTGTAAAATTTCACTCATGCATTTTTTCCCAATTTTTAACAAAAAACCGCTGAAATTCCCAATTCCATGGGTATGGGTCATGTTCCCAAAATCCTGGAAAAAATCCCTGTAAGATGTAAGTTTATTGTGTGGGTTTTTTAGTCCCTCTGACACTATTACTGTGGTTACTCTCCTTTGTATAAAAATAGAAAAATAACTAAGTAAATGAACCAGCCTCTGTGGGGGGGGGGTTAGAGTTGATGACTTCTAATCAAGTCACCATTCTGGCGTGGATTCTGCACGGATGCACAGGCTGGTCTGGATCCATGCGGGTCGCAAACACACTATGTTGGTTTTGTCGTGACACGGCTTATTTAATTTCAGGTCCTGCGCAGTTGGTAGACACACCTGAGGGTTATGTTCCAGAACCACACGAGTACCACAGAGTAAGTTCATTAGTACCACAGAGTAAGTTGATTACTACCACAGAGTAAGTTAATTAGTACCACAGAGTAAGTTAATTAGTACCACAGAGTAAGTTAATTAGTACCACAGAGTAAGTTAATTAGTACCACAGAGTAAGTTAATTAGTACCACAGAGTAAGTTAATTAGTACCACAGAGTAAGTTGATTAGTACCACAGAGTAAGTTAATTAGTACCACAGAGTAAGTTAATTAGTACCACAGAGTAAGTTAATTAGTACCACAGAGTAAGTTAATTAGTACCACAGAGTAAGTTAATTAGTACCACAGAGTAAGTTAATTAGTACCACAGAGTAAGTTAATTAGTACCACAGAGTAAGTTGATTAGTACCACAAAGTATGTTAATTAGTACCACAGAGTAAGTTAATTAGTACCACTGAGTAAGTTGATTACTTCCACAGAGTTAGTTAACTAGTACCACAGAGTAAGTTAATTAGTACTACAGAGTTATTTAATTAGTACCACAGAGTATGTTAATTAGTACCACAGAGTAAGTTAATTAGTACCACAGAGTAAGTTAATAAGTAACACAGAGTAAGTGAATTAGTAACACAGAGTAAGTTAATTAGTAACACAGAGTAAGTTGATTAGCACCACAGAGTAAGTTAATTAGTACCACAGAGTAAGTTAATTAGTACCACAGAGTAAGTTAATTAGTACCACAGAGTAAGTTAATTAGTACCACAGAGTAAGTTAATCAATAACACAGAGTAAGTTAATTAGTACCACAGAGTAAGTTAATTAGTACCACAGAGTAAGTTAACTAGTACCACAGAGTAAGTAAATTAGTACCACAGAGTAAGTTAATTACTACCACAGAGTAAGTTAATTAGTACCACAGAGTAAGTTAATTAGTACCACAGAGTAAGTTAATTAGTACCACAGAGTAAATTAATTAGTACCACAGAGTAAGTGAATTAGTAACACAGAGTAAGTTAATTAGTAACACAGAGCAAGATAATTAGTAACACAGAGTAAGTTTATTAGTAACACAGAGTAAGTTAATTAGTAACACAGAGTAAGTTAATTAGTACCACTGAGTTAGTTAATTATTACCACAGAGTAAGTAAATTAGTACCACAGAGTAAGTTAATTAGTAACACAGAGTAAGTTAATTAATACCACAGATTAAGTTGATTAGTACCACAGAGTAAGTTAATTAGTACCACTGAGTAAGTTAATTAGTACCACAGAGTAAGTTAATGGTGAAAAGACACCTTATCAGGATAGAAGAAGAGGAAAAACGTCGCTCATCAATAAGTCCCATTGGCAAATTGTTTTTAAAATGGTTTCTAATTGGTATTTTGTCTTCCATATAAAATTTAAATCATGAACCCCCAAAAAGCAAAAGATGGTTTATCTATATACCAATTTTGTACCATTTTGAGAACTGTTAAGATCGCAAAAAAGCTAAAAGCTTTTTGTGGAACTGATGTCATTTTAGGTCTTAATAAAATTAATGTTTCATGTTTAAATACCTCCAAATTGTATTTTTTGAAAAACCTGACTCAGAAAATGGTGTTTTGCTTACATTAGAAAGGCCTGAGGCTCTGCATATTACTTGTTCCTTATTTTACTGAAATAGACAGTGTCAGGAAAAAAGTGAATTACTTACAATTAAACAGATCTATTTATTTGAGATTAGACAGACTGTTTTTAGTCTCAATAATAATATTACAGTGTATAAGAATCTTACACCGGCTACCGTACAGACCAGAATATCTAGCTCGAGGTGACTTTTTACGGCAGTAATGAGGCTCTGATGAGTTTCCGAGAGCACGTTCTGTTTCACTGCACAAAATGGCCGCCAGAGCTAAAAAATAGAAAAATCTTGTCCGCCCTTCACAGGTCAATCTACTGGTGGGATTTCACCCAAACTTTACAGGAGTGATCAGTACCATCCATAGTTGTGCACATCACTGGCCCGTTATTCTTTGCTGCACAAAATGGCCGCCTGAGAGCTAAAACTAGAAAATTCTTGTCCGCCCTTCACAGGTCAAACTACTGGTGGGATTTCAACCAAACTTTACAGAAGTGATCAGTACCATCCCTAGTTGTGCTCATCACTGGCATGTTCTGCTTTTTTGCACAAAATGGCGGTCAGAACTATAAATAGAAAAATCTTGTCTGGCTTTCACAGGTCAAGCTACTGGTGTGATTTTAATGAAATTTCACATGAGTGACCATACATAGTTTTTGGAGACATGTTTTTGTGACAAAAACCCTTCTCGTTTGAAATAACTTGGCACAAATGTTTGTTATAATAAGACAATGTGTCGTGTGCAACAACTGGATCCATACCTCCAGAGTCAAGGTCGCACTTGCTCCTATAAGTTCAACATTGTCTATTTGAGGGTATATGTGGTGTCTGGTCCATAACATTCTTTTCCATGAAGGGATTTTGATCATTTTTGTCACTAATAATTACTATATTGAGACAATGTGTCTTGAGCAAAAACCAGTCGCCTACCTCCAATGTCAAGGACACAGTAAGAGGTCGTATATTAACAAAGTCTGTTACAGGGTATATTTTGTGTCAGGTCCATAACTTCTTCAAAGATCAAGGGATTTTGAAATTATGTTGCACAAATGTTCACAATAATAAGACAAGGTGTCATGAGCGACACCAGTAGTCTACCTCCAAGGTAAAGGTTACAGTTGTAAACCTTAACATGGTCTTTTAAATGGTATATTTTGTGTGCAGTCTATAATTATTTTATTATTCAATGGATTTGAAATAACTTAGCAAAAATGTTCACAATAATGGGACCATGTGTCATTAGCAACATCCAGACTTCTACCTTCAATGTCAATGTCACACTAGAGTGCCAAAGCTTAACATTGTCTGTTCTTGGGTATATTTTGTATGCGGTTCATCAATCAAGGGATTTTAGAATAATTTTGCACAATTGTTAACAATAAGATGACATGTGATGCGCAACACCTAAACCCTTACCTCAAAGGTCAAGGTCACACTTGGAGGTCAAGGCCTAAAATAGACTGTTACATGGTAAAATGCCAAGTTTGGCCAATGCAAATAAAGGTCATTGGTGAATTAACCACATACATTGATTGATGACTGGAAACGAAATGTACCCTGTAACAGACCATATCCTCTATGTTTGAAATAGTAATCACAAGTATACAAATGGATTTCTTTTGACACATACACAGGAGATATAACAGGCACCATTTTATCATTTTATATCTGTACTTCATTAAATTAATTTGCTTTTATTTATAAAATAGGTACATTAAGGGAGAAATTATTGTTATAATATTTTGTTTATTGCATTTTGTATGGATCCTATGATGTGGATAATTAATTCAATTTTAAAAGTGTTATATACTTATATTAATTAATTATGTTTATATTCATAACTGTTATCTATGTTTGTATGTGGCATATAGTACATGAACTGCTTGATTTTGTCCTCTTTATATATTTTTGTGTCGCCTTTGAAAAGGTGACATATAGGGGTTTACTTTTGTCGGCAGTGTCGGCGGCGGCGTCTGTGTCGGCGGCGTTGTTGTTGTCGGCGTCGGCGTCCGCTAAAGCTTGTCCGGAGCATAACTCAGTCACTATAAGTCTGATTGACTTCAAACTTGGTATGCATGCTTCTTTCAATAACCCGAAGTGCAGTGCACAAGGACCAGTACTCTGCAGTTCTTATTTTTTGAGTTATTGCCCTTTGTTAATTTTCATTCTTTAATTTTGTCCGGGCCATTTCTCTTCAACTAAAAAAGCTATGGACTTGAAACTTCATAGGATGATAGATCTCATTAAGAAGAAATGCAGTGCACAAGAACCAGTACTCTGCACTTCCTAATTTTTTAGTTATTGCCCTTTGTTAATTTTCATACTTTATTTTTGTCCGGGCAATTTCTCCTAATGTATAAAAGCCATGGACTTGAAACTTCATAGGATGATAGGTCTCATTAAGAAGAAGTGCAGTGCACAAGAACTGGTACTCTGCATTTCTTATTTCTTGAGTTATTGCCCTTTGTTTATTTTCATACTTAATTTTTGTTATAAAAGCCATGGACTTGAAACTTCATAGGATGATAGATCTCATTAAAAAGAAGTGCAGTGCATAAGAACTGATACTCAGCATTTCTTATTTTTGAGTTATTGCCCTTTGTTGCTTTTCTTACTTTATTTTTGTCCTGGTCATTTTTCCTCAAGTATGAAAGCTATGGACTTGAAACATCATAGAATGATAGATCTTATTGATAAGAAGTGCAGTGTACAGAAACTGCTGCTCTGCACTTATTATTTTTTTAGTTATTGCCCTTTGTTATTTTTCATATTTCATTTTTGTCCTGGCCATTTCCCCTAAACTACATTGTTCACAAGACGACACATCCGACTTGCGGAGTTCTAGTTTTAATGAATTTTTTATACTGGCATGTGCAGATCTAGAATAATATATAGTATGTTTTTTTTGATAACCTCGACTAGAATAAAATATGCCACTGTTACAGGTAAATGAAGTAAGTGGCATATTCCTCCTATGGACTGTAGTATTTTTATGCCCCCGCCATGTAATGGCCTGGGCATATAGTGTTACCCTGTTCCGTCCTTCCGTCATTCCGTCCTTCCGTCCTTCCGTCATTCCATCCTTCCGTCATTCCGTCATTCTGTCATTCCGTCATCATCAGTTTCCGTTCATTATCTTAGTAACAGTTGCACACATTCAACTCAAATTTGACATATGGATATGTCGTGAGAAAATACAGGTCAAGTTCGAATTTGGTCATGGTTTGATGATTTTTGGCAGAGTTATGCCCCTTTTACTTTAAAATAATATGAAATTTTCAGTTTCCGTTCATTATCTCCCCAATGGTACAACACATTCAACTCAAACTTGACATATAGATGTGTCATGAGAAAATACAGGTCAAGTTCGAATTTGGTCATGGTTCGATGAATATTGGCAGAGTTATGCCCCTTTTACTTTGGAAATAATATGAAATTTTCAGTTTCCGGTCATTATCTCCCCAATGGTACAACACTTTTAACTCAAACTTGACATATGGATACGTCACAGGAATGCGCAGGTCAAGTTCAAAGTTGGTTATGGTTCAATGATTTTTGGCAGGGTTATGCCCCTTTCACTTTGAAAATAATATGAAATTTTCAGTTTCTGTTTATTATCTCCCCAATGGTACAACACATTCAACTCAAATTTGACATATGGATATATTTTTGGAATGCCCAGGCCAAGTTTGAATTTGGTCATGGTTCAATGATTTTTTCAGGCAGAGTAATGCCCCTTTCACTTTGAAAATATTATGAAATTTACTGTTTCTGTTCATTATCTACCCAACTACTCAAATTTGACATATGGATATGTCAAAGGAATGGGCAGGTCAAGTTTGAATTTGGTCATGGTTCGATGACTTTTTTGGCAGAGTTATGTCCCTTTCACTTTGAAAATAATATATAGATACATCTTAGGAATAAGCAGTTTAAGTTTGAATTTGGTCGTGGTTCAATGATTTTGGACAAACTTATCTTTCTTGAATGTTGTAAAAATTTGAACTTTCAGTTTCAGCACTGAAATGTATGTAGCCATTATTTTGGCTACAAATATGAAAATATGCTATTTTCAAAAGGTTATTAGACTGAATAATTTCAGTGCCTTGAACATTGTATGAAAATGGTTTGTGTTAACATTGAAAAGTTTTAAGGGCTTTGAACTTAAAATGAAAAAAATTATTTGTGCAAACAAATTTGGAACTAAATATTATAACATCTGAAATTTTGGCTGCATGCGGGGGCATCCGTGGCATGATGACACATTTCTAGTTATATTGAAATCCCTTCAAGTATTAATGAAAAGTTCAAAGCAGGGTAAGTTCATTTCAGTTGAACAGGTTAAAGGTAAAGATATATATTTATTTTTCTAGCTGCCACTGACAAGGTTACTGGCTAAATATGGAGTTGAACCTATTGAGAAGAAACATGAAAGAACTTTATACTATCTTCATAAAGCAGATGAAAAAAGAAAATCTACGTAAGTGGTGTACATATATTCATCACAATTAACCAAAGCACCTAGTGTAATAAGAGTTTTATGTGATGTCATTTTAATGTGAGGAAGCTTTCTAGCTAGCTATTAAAACATCGGTGGTTCTACTCAGGTGACTGTGTGTGCCTGAAATAATGCATGGAAGTCACCTGAGGTCGCCATATGACCTTTACTGTCTAGGTGTGATAGAAAATCAAATCACAAACGTGAATCATGTTTCTTGAGTCTATATTGGCTTTGATAAGTGAATCATGTGTCTATAGTCAATATTGGCTTTGATAAGTGAATCATGTGTATAGAGTCAATACTGGCTTTGAAGAGTGAATCATGTGTCTAGAGTCAATAATGGCTTTGATAAGTGAATCATGTGTCTAGAGTCAATATTGGCTTTGATGAGTGAATCATGTGTCTAGAGTCAATATTGGCTTTGATAAGTGAATCATGTGTCTAGAGTCAATATTGGCTTTGATAAGTGAATCATGTGTCTAGAGTCAATATTGGCTTTGATGAGTGAATTATGTGTCTCGAGTCAATAATGGCTTTGATAAGTGAATCATGTGTCTAGAGTCAATAATGGCTTTGATAAAGGAATCATGTGTCTAGAGTCAATAATGGCCTTGATAAGTGAATCATGTGAATAGTCAATATTGGCTTTGATGAGTGAATCATGTGAATAGTCAATATTGGCTTTGATAAGTGAATCATGTGTCTAGAGTCAATAATGGCCTTGATAAGTGAATCATGTGAATAGTCAATATTGGCTTTGATGAGTGAATCATGTGAATAGTCAATATTGGCTTTGATAAGTGAATCATGTGTCTAGAGTCAATAATGGCTTTGATAAGTGAATCATGTGAATAGTCAATATTGGCTTTGATGAGTGAATCATGTGTCTCGAGTCAATAATGGCTTTGATAAGTGAATCATGTGTCTAGAGTCAATAATGACTTTGATAAGTGAATCATGTGTCTAGAGTCAATATTTGCTTTGATGAGTGAATCATGTGTCTAGAGTCAATAATGGCTTTGATAAAGGAATCATGTGTCTAGAGTCAATAATGGCTTTGATAAGTGAATCATGTGTCTAGAGTCAATATTGGCTTTGATGAGTGAATCATGTGTCTCGAGTCAATATTGGCTTTGATAAGTGAATCATGTGTCTAGAGTCAATATTGGCTTTGATAAGTGAATCATGTGAATAGTCAATATTGGCTTTGATGAGTGAATCATGTGTCTCGAATCAATATTGGCTTTGATAAGTGAGTCATGTGTTTAGAGTCAATAATGGCTTTGGTAAGTGAATCATGTGTCTAGAGTCAATAATGTCTTTGATGAATGAATCATGTGTCTAGAGTCAATAATGGCTTTGATAAGTGAATCATGTGTATAGAGTCAATATTGGCTTTGATAAGTGATTCATGTGTCTAGAGTCAATATTGGCTTTGATAAGTGAATCATGTGTCTAGAGTCAATATTGGCTTTGATAAGTGAATCATGTGTCTAGAGTCAATATTGGCTTTGATGAGTGAATCATGTGTCTTGAGTCAATATTGTCAATATGAACTTTGTGATATAAAATAAGATTTAGATTATATTGTGCTTTGATTTATAGTTAAAGATCCTGTAACACAATTTTTTCATGGTTTCATAAATATATATGATGCTCAAAATAAGATTTGTCAATATTGTAAGTTCCAATAAGCATTATTAATAAAGATATTACCATTTTTAGCTCACCTGTCACAAAGTGACAGGGTGAGCTTTTGTGATCGCTTTTCGTCCGGCGTCCGTCCGTCCTCCGTCCGTCCGTAAACTTTTGCTTTAAATGACATCTCCTCATAAACCACTGAGCCAATTTCATCCAAACTTCACAGGAATGTTCCTTTGGTGGTCACCTTTAAAAATTGTTCAAAGAATTTAATTCCATGCAGAACTCTGGTTGCCATGGCAACCAAAAGAAAAAACTTTAAATATCTTCTTTTAAAAAACCATAAGAGCTAGAGCTTAGATATTTGGCATGAAACATCTTCTAGTGAGTGTCTACCAAGTTTGTTCAAATAAAAGCCCTGGGGTCAAAATTGGCCCCGCCCCTGGGGGTCATTGATTTTCCCTATATGCCTATAGTAAAAACTTAAAAAATCTTCTTTTAAAGAATCGTAAGAGCTAGAGCTTAGATATTTGGCATGAAACATCTTCTAGTGAATGTCTACCAAGTTTGTTCAAATAAAAGCCCTGGGGTCAAAATTAACCCCTCCCCAGGGGGTCATAGATTTTCCCTATATGCATATAGTAAAAACTTAAAAAAATTTCTTTTAAAGAACCCAAAGAGCTAGAGCTAAGATATTAAGCATGAAACATCTTCTAGTGAGTGTCTACCAAGTTTGTTCAAATTAAAGCCCTGGGGTCAAAATTGGCCCCGCCCCGGGGGTCATTGATTTTCCCTATATGCATATGGTAAAATCTTAAAAAATTTTCTTTTAAAGAACCATAAGAGCTAGAGCTTAGATATTTGGCATGAAACATCTTCTAGTGAATGTCTACCAAGTTTATTCAAATAAAAGCCCTGGGGTAAAAATTGACCCTGCCCCATGGGGCATAGATTTTCCCTATATGCATATAGTAAAAACTTTAAAATCTTCTTTTAAAGAACCCAAAGAGCTAGAGGTAAGATATTTAGCATGAAACATCTTCTAATGAGTGTCTACCAAGTTTGTTCAAATAAAAGCTCTGGGGTCAAAATTGGCCCCTCCCCAGGGGGTCATTGATTTTCCCTATATGCATATAGTAAAAACTTAAAAAACTTCTTTTAAAGAACTCAAAGAGCTAGAGCTAAGATATTTAGCATGAAACATGTTCTATTGGGTGTCTACCCAGTATGTTCAAATAAAAGCCCTGGGGTCAAAACTGGCCCCGCCCGGGGGGGGGGTCATTGATTTTCCTTGCTATGTGTATAGCAAAAACTTAAAAATCTTCTTTGGAAAAACCCAAATAGCTAGAGTTTAGATATTTAGCATGAAACATCTTTAAGTAAATATCTACAAAGTTTGTTAAAATAAACGCCCGGGGGTCAAAACTGGCCCTGCCCCAGGGGTGACATTGTTTTTAACTATATGTGTATAGTATAAACTTCAAAAATTCTCTTTTAAAAATGCCAATGAGCTAGAACTTAGATGTTTAGCATGAAACATCTTCTTATGGGTGTCTACCAAGTCTGTTCAAATAAACAAGTAAAAGCCCTTGGGTAAAAATTGGCCTTGGGGCGGGGGGCCTATATACAGGTGAGCGACCTCAGGGCCATCATGGCCCTCTTGTTACATTTTATGAAAATAAAGGAGGAAATTAGAAATTTATTTTCTGTAAATTCTAAGTCAAATTTTCCAATAAGAAATGAATGCATATAATTGATTGATTACATATAATGTGCACAAATATTTTCTGTACATATTTAACACTTTCTTCGATGTTTGAAAATTGTTTCATTTGCATATATAATTTCTTTTAAGTGTGGTACACATACAGTAACAATATCAATCACAAAACATGCAGGATCTTTAACAATATAACTTTGTTCCGTGTATTGAGAAAATTTATATTCAGGTGAGTTCAATAAGGGCCATCATGGCTCTCTTGTTGTATTGTAGGGGCCTATACAAATGTACTTTTTTGTGTGAGCAGTTGACCTGAGCAATGGATGGAAAAAGAGGAACTAAATTTTCTACAGCTAAAGATCCACGATATATGTAAAGTCAGGGAAAGCAGTGATCCCTCGGAAGCATTTATTAAAAATTTACATGAAAATTTCATGCTTGGTTTGATAAAGTCATTCATGAAGGACAGTCAAACCATCAACTTTATATTCTTCTTTTTGACAGGTTGTTTTCATATTGTCTGAATATTCAAATAGATTTATTGTATTGAAAATGTGTTTATATAGATATATTTTGTAAAATTCAGTATACTGCAAATGGAGGTAAGATGTCTTCAAAAAGAGAAACCTGAAAATAAAGGTAATTGTCTATCTTCATTGTCTGATTTTAATTTTATTTACACGATTTAACACTGTCTGTTGATAGTTCCCTTCTAATTTTCCCACCGTCTGCCATTCTGCATGACAGAATAGGGATAGGGAGCCATTTCACTGTGAAAAGAACAATAGAATTCATTCTGTAACAATAAAGTATAAGGCCTACTGTTATGGCTCCTTATTAAACAAAGAGTATGCACTTTAGTTTTACCTTAACTTCTTAGAAAAAAAGTGGAGAAGTGTTGAATATCTGGACAAACATGACATAACAATGCAAAATTACACTGCATCTGTGTGTGTGTCAAATATCATGACTCTGAAAGTTTGACATAGTTGTGAGTCTTCCCTTACTTAAAAATATGACAGAAATGTACCTGTAGCTTAGTTATTTCCGTGGCCGAGTGGTTAAGGATGTTGACGTCAAACCACTTGCCCCTCACCGCTGTGGGTTCAAATCCCGACAGGGACTTTGGATTGTTTTATGTGGGGAAGCTATCCAGCTAGCTTACGAAACGTCGATGGTTCTACTCAGATGCCCGTTCGTGCCTGAAATAATGCACGGAAGGGCACCTGAGGTCTTCCTCCACCAGTAAAGCTGGAACGTCCCGATATGACCTGTATTGTGTCAATGTCACGTTAACGAGCGTGGGCGTCAGCGTAACCACTTATGTTCAAGTTTTTGTAATACCTCAAATATTTTCATAGTCCATTGACATATGGCTTTGAATTTTTGCACACTTATTCACCATCATGACCCCAACCTGTAAACACGAGGAGGTAACTCTATCAAGCATTTTGACAGAATAATGCCCCTTTTTCGACTTAGAATTTACGTAAAAGTTTTTGTAATACCTCAAATATTTTCAAAGTCCATTTACATATTGCTTTGAAACTTTTCACATTTGTTCACCATTATGATCCCAACCTATATACAGGAGGAGGTAACTCTATCAAGTATTTTGACAGAATTATGCCCCTTTTTCGAGTTAAACTTTACGTTAAAGTTTTTGTAATACCTCAAATATTTTCAAAGTCCATTGACATATGGCTTTGAAACATGTTGAAATTTAATACTCTTCATTGAGAGCATAATAGGACTCTCTCCAATGCCTATAACTGTAATATGGATTTAAAGAAAAATTTTGCCTTTTTCTTTACTGAGAAAATTTAACCTTATTCAAGGCTTTTTCTACTATCAAGCACTAAGAATAGTCAAGCGTTGCTGTCCTACCGACCGACAGCTCTTGTTTGATGGCAAATGGCATGTATACATTCCTTTATTATGCCATGCTCATCAGTCCTACCAGTTTTGTACGAGAATGATGTAAAATATGATGTTAGACTTAATAATTAATATATGTGACGTCATTTTGTCAGTTTTTGCACATTCTGTTGTTCAGGGGGCCGATTATGATTATGAGTTTTTAGGCCCCGGGCCACAAACTCTATATCGGTCATGTGACACTCGTAATAAGTTAAAACTGTTTTCAACTTTGTTGTATAGAAACCAAGTGTATTAATTGATATTTAATATACATTTTGTATAGAAACCAAGTGTATTAATTGATATTTAATATACATTTAATGTTCATTATTTCATTTACAGGATGGTATTATGTACCAACACAAGGTCAGTTTAAAGAAAGGGAAGACATGTACGGAAGTCAGGAGATGGTGAAGGCTAGAGAATTAGGGAAATAACTTGTTACTAAGATATGTCGTACAGGATTATTATGAAACAAAGCCACTTATTATTTAAATGCATTGCTTTTGAACATTTAATGTGGTAAATTGACAAAATTTTCTCTTCACAGTTTTGGACATAATATAGATATATGAGGATTTTCAAATAAACTTTCAGTAACCTGAATTAAAGAAGAATTGAAGAATAAAGTGTTAGATAATGTATGAAACATATTGTTTTGCATCAAATTTTGTGAATAAACATTGAGCAAATATTTTTCCTTATCAATTTATATCGTTGCTGTGTAATGCTTTGGCTATAAAAATGTGTAAAGAACCATATTAAGGTACACTGGAACATTCTCATCATAAATAGGTTTTAGTCTGAAAGGTAAACTAGATTCAGACTACTAAAAGTAATGGTAGAGCTGTACACATTATGTTGTGTATTTATTAAAGAAACATATTCAATTTTTATGTAGACTTTTTTTTAGCTCACCAAAACGGAAGGTTCAGGGTGAGCTATTAGTATCAAAGGGGGATGCTCTGTCGTCATGCGTCAACATTCATCTTTTTCTCTGAAACCACCTGGCAGATTTACTTCCAATTTGGTCTTAAATTTACCCATGATGCTCATTTTTTATCCCCCGCCGAAAAATTTCGGCGGAGGATATAGAAATAGTCTCCGTCCGTCCGACCTTCTGTCCGTCCTTCCGTCCGACATTTTTGTCCGGAGCATATCTCTAAAAGTATTTGAGTTATCAACTTGAAACTTCATAGGTGGATAGACCTCATTGAGGAGGAGTGCAGTGCACAAGAATGATAACTCTACCTTGCATGATTTTTGAGTTATTGCCCTTTGTTATTTTTCAAAATTGATTTTTGTCCAGAGCATAACTCCAAAAGCCTATGAGATATTAACATGAAACTTCATAGGTGCATAGATCTCATTCAGAAGGTGTGCAGTGCACAAGAATGATAACTCTACCTTTCATAATTTTTGAGTTATTGCCCTTTGTTATTTTTCATACCTAATTTTTCTACCGAGTGGAGCATAACGCAAAAAGTGTTTGAGATATCAACATGAAATGTCATAGGCGGATAGATCTTATTGAGGAGGAATGTTGTGCGCAAGAATGATAACTCTTCCCTATACAATTTTTGAGTTATTGCCCTTTGTTTTTTTATGCTATTTTGTCCAGAGCTTATCTCAAAAAGTATTTGAGGTATCAACTTGAAACTTCAAAGGTGGATGGATCTCATTGAGGAGGAGTGCAGTGCTTAAGAATGATAACTCTACCCTGCATTATTTTTGAGTCATTGCCCTTTGTTATTTTTCAAAATTAATGGTTGTCCAGAGCATAACTCAAAAAGCCTTTGAGATATCAAAATGAAACTTCATAGGTGCATAGATCTCACTCAGGAGGTGTGCACTGCACAAGAATGATAACTCTACCTTTTATAATTTTTGAGTTATTGCCCTTTGTTCTTTTTCATACTTAATTTTTCAATTCAATTTTTTTCTCAAAAAGTATTTGAGATATCAAAATGAAACTTCATAGGTGCATAGATCTCACTCAGGAGGTGTGCACTGCACAAGAATGATAACTCTACCTTTTATATTTTTTGAGTTATTGCCCTTTGTTTTTTCTATTTCATACTTAATTTTTCAATTCAATTTTTTTCTCAAAAAGTATTTGAGGTATCAACTTGAAACTTCATAGGTGGATAGATTTTACTGAGGCGGGATGCAGCACACAAGAATGATAACCTACCATGCATTATTTTTCAGTTATGGCCCTTTGTTATTTTCAGCCATCAGTATTCACATAGGTTTCAAATCTGTAATCACTATTGCCATCAGTTTTCATTACCAAAAGACCTCTTAAAATGGAATTATTCCGCTCTACTACATATACATTCTTCCAATGAGCAAACACATTCGGCGGGGGATGGCCATGTTGACATGGCTCTTGTTTTTATTAATTCCCTTCCACGTAGCGGAAGGGGGATTATAGGAATGGCCTTAGTCAGTCCGCCGTCTGAGCTTACATATTAGAGTTATTCGCTTCATTCCGTAGTTAAATAAAGAACTAGAACTAAAGATCAACCTTTATGACTGTCTGAATGTCCAAAACAGTGCCTCAAGAGTGTTAATAAGAGATTTCTATTTTAAGCTCCAGTGACCTAGCTTTTCATGCGAGAAACATGGAAAAACATCTTGACCAAGTTAATAGAAACAATTTATGTAAAAATGTAAACATTAGATTGTTAATGAACTAAAAGTGGACGGACAACAGGCGACAGACCAGCAACGTTCAATTATCCTAAAAGCTCACCCTGCTAGCTCAGGTTGAGCTAAAACAGTTGATTTTTTTTAATATTCTGGTCACAAAATGCAGAAAATTGGTTAAATTACAGGTAACTTATCTAGAAAAGCATGTTTCG